AGATGCCGGATTCTGTATCATATACCATAATGGTGTATAAACGTTCTTTGAAATCTATTGACGAAGAGCAAATATTTAGACTCGCCAGTACAAACACTGAGATGGTCGGCTATTGACATATTCATGCATTCAGCCCCTCTGTGTTGAACGGCACATGGCACCTCGTGGTTCTGTAGGGAGTACCGTTAACTTCATTCATTCAAACATGTGTACTCTTTTGTGGAAAAATGAACTCAGGTCGGATAGACTTAAACCAAGACGTCCACTTGAGCTGTTCTGTCGGGAAAAGAAAATATACACCCATGATTGGTGTTGACTGAACATGAAAGAAACGAGAAATGTTTTATCGAAGGTGAAGTATTTGATACAGCTATCACGTATGTGTTTTGGACCTTACGTTGGAAGTGTTTCGGCGACTGTTTTCAGTGCCCTAACGTAATGTGCGTACGTACGTCCTTGCGGGCGGGCGTGCGTACGAGAGAGTTTGTGTCTGCGCTAATGTCTGTGGACAGTGCCTATGTGTCTGAATATGTGTCTGTGGTGTGAGAGTGAGGTAATGTGTGTTTGCGTGCGTGCGTGCGTTTGTGCGTGCGTGGTAGAGGCGGAGGAGCTCACGGTCCAATACGAGTTCCATGTATTCCCTGAGCCAGTCGGTTCTCGGGAAGAATAGAGATTGCAAAAAGTTGCAGAAAATCTGCACTACTGGCTGCAGTTGGCCACGTTACACTGAGGGCATTTTGTACATAGCTATTATATTACGTAACTGGGAGAGTCCGTAACTGGGAGAGTCTAAAACCACGTAACTGGGAGAGTCCATTACTGGGAGAGTCTAAAACCACGTAACTGGGAGAGTCTATAACCACGTAACTGGGAGAGTCCATAACTGGGAGAGTCCATAACTGGGAGAGTCTATAACTGGGAGAGTCTATAACCAGGTAACTGGGAGAGTCTATAACCACGTTTCACGGAGGGTCTATCGTCTCGTGACAGGGAGGGTCTTTTGTTGGTTATCAGCGATGGTCTATGTTGTCACGTAAAAGAAAGGGTCTATAATGTCACATGTCACGAAGAGTCCATATTGTTACGAAATAAAACAGGTGTATTGTTTATCATACCACGGCAAGCGCAATGGTCGAACATATGCAACTGAATTTGAAGTGTTGTCTCTCTGAGTTTCCATATTACTTTATCAGTATTTGCTGATGATACGTTTGAGTGAGCGAATGGTGTTTTAAGGCAACAGCAATAGTCACTTCATCTCATGGCGACACGCACATACATTAGCCGGAACAAAATAATCCTACGAGCAAGGTTATAACGGAAAGACAACAAACATTTCCAATGAACCAGACCACAACTACTACTAAAACGACAAGCATGAATATTGGATACGTATTTTAACCCGCTATCCCACTGGTGTAAACTATTTGTTTTACGCCGCTTTTAGGAATATTTCATCAATTTCGCGGCGGTGGACACCAGAAATGGGCTGCACACATTGTGCCCATGTTAGGAATCGAACCCGGGCCTTCGTAGCGAACGCCTTAACCACTAGGCTACCCCACCAATCCGTTCAAATCAGAAGTCCAACCGGGTGTATTTCGTCAGCACCACACAGCTCGCGATCTATCCCTCCTTCCGCGACAAATTTACACCAACTTTACATAGTTAATTAAATATAAACAATCCAAACTTGTTTTCCAATTCGTGCATTCTCGATCAGGGCCAGGTCGTGTTTGGTGGTTTCGGGTGTCATTTGTTTGTTTGTTTGTTTGTTTGTTTGTTGTTTAACGCTGTACTCAGCAATATTTCAGCTATGTGACGGCGACGGTCTGTAAATAATCGAGTCTGGACCAGACAATCCAGTGATTGACAACATAAGCATCGATCTACACAATTGGGATACGATGACATGTGTCAAACAAGTCAGTGAGCCTGGCCACCCGATCCGTTAGTCGCATCTTAGGATAAGCATCGGTTACTGAAGATCAATTCTAACCAGGATCTTCACGGGTGGGTGTTATTTGTGCAATGCAAATAGTCTGCGCTTGTCACAACCTGGATGCATTTCATTTGGGGGAATGACACTCTGTGCCTAAATCAGGAATGTGTTTAACCTTCTTGAGGTTAACAGGGTCATTTATATATGTAATTAGTTACGTATAAATCAAAATGACATGCGCAATGATACGTTCATGCGTGACGCATGAAATCTGATTTTAAAAACGGCATCAATTTAAAGTAACTCTATCTTCACTAAAAGAGAACATATGTCGTGGATAGATGTTAGATGTTGTGGAAACCTATCTTCCTCACAACACCTCTTACGCATTTGTGATTTTACGAGAGCTTGAAATACTCTGGTTGGTTGGTTTTGGTTGTTGTTAACGTCGCATTCAGCAATATTCAAACTATGTGGCAACGGTCCGTAAATAATCGAGTCTGGACCAGACAATCCAGTGATCAACATCATGAGCATCGTTTAACGCAATTAGGACACGATGACATGTGTCAACCTAAGTCAGCGAGCCTGACCACTCGATCCCGTTTGTCGCCTCTTACGACAAGCATGGGTTGCTGAAGACCAATTCTAACCCGGATCTTCACGGGTATGAAATACTCTGAAGGAGCAAGTCTCGTCCTACTTTGTCATATGCTAACGATGTTATAGAAAGCAGTGTGTGTAGTGAGCGAGTATCATTTTACATGGCTTTAGCAATACTCCGGCAACATCACTGGTTGGTGGCCAGAAATGGACTTAACCCGTATGAGCACTGTTTTAGTAAATCAAAATGCCCCATGAATATATTGCACGTCACAAGGAGTTTTATAATTGTAGTGGGTGAGTGAGTATAGCAATACCCATCAGCATCACGGCCGGGGACACCAGAAATAAGCTTGTCACCATGTACCTACATAGGGATTCGAACCTGGGTTTTCGGCGTGACGAGCCAACGCTTAACCACTAGACTACCCCACCGCCCTGCAATCTGAAGTTGAAAGTATGCAACCTCGAGCGTTCATGCTGCTATTCCGGTTTTAGGTAGCTCTAGAATGGTCTCACTCGTCACAATTTGTAATCTAGAGTTGCGTCCCTTGACTATCAAGATCCGCTGATTCACACTCCGGCACAGCGATGACTTAACATAACATCACTGCCACAGGCTAATTTGCATATCACGTGACCGGACTTTTCTCTTGTTTGAAATCAAACGCGCATATTCATAATAAGAAGAGACTGGACTCACGAAAGCTTTTCGGCGCTCTCTTCATAATGGTTTACATTGTTACATATATATTCTTCCACAACTGCGACAGTAAGGTCTATGACAGTACATATTTAGATATCAAACTGGCTGCATCGTTTGCTCTCCATCAGCTTCGATGACAGCACGTGGAGCCGTACAACCTATGTAAACAAAGGATCGCTACGCAAATCGAAATAGTGTTACATGTTTTTGATGTTTTTTCAGTGAAACTAAACCATTCTATTAAAGATGTTTAGTTAGATGTGTAGACTCGTCAAAAATAAAAGAGTAAAAGAAATATGTACATTATATTGAATGGACATGGCAAGATGTGACGAATCGTCACATTTTTGTGGCCTGTGGCAGAGGAACTATGCTGGCTTGCCGCATGGAACTCTGGGTAGGAGAGTGCCGCTGATTGTGGGTTTAAATCCAGGAACCGTTCACATTTCCCAGCTGTATATTCACGCAGTTAACACAAGTAGTAAACGACATGCAACCACGACTATTTAAGCTAACCACCACCCCACCCCCTCTGCCTTGAAATCAGGGGTAAACGAGTGCTTGAATAATCAAAACGAGTGCTTGCATCACGATCATTTGCAACGAAACCCAACTGAAACATCAATAATTAAGATTGATGCAGCGTCACATTATTGTTGTTAGTATTGACAGACAGAACATAAATTTAAACACATTTGTGGAGCACAGTGGTGTAGTGGTTAGCATGCTGGCCTCTCACGCCAAAGGCCCGGGGTCGAATCCCGATGGAGACCCCAAAATTTGTGACCTGGGTCTCATGCTGTGTTGTTTCGAAACACACACACACACACACACACACACACACACACACACACACACACACACACACACACACACACACACACACACACACACACACACACACACACACACACATCCACACACACACACACACACCACACACATCACACACTGACACACACACACACACACTGGATCCGCCAATGCTTGTGTACAGTACACAACCCTGTGCACTTAAAAGAACCCACGAATCCGTTGGTAAATGACCAGATGGTGGCCACATGAATACGTGCAAACACCTAGTTGCGGGTACAGCAACGTGCAGTAAACTTGGACAAAGTACAGTGACTATGTGTTCCAGTCCACCCAGCTGTGAATGGGTACCTCGTTAGGATGAGAAAGCCACAATAACTCGGTGCGCCTAGTGGCGACAAGAGCTGGATACTCCCCGGGGTGTTGAGATAGATAATACCTTGTGCCGTTGAGATTGACATCCAATTACCGAGGGGAACATACCAGCGCCTTGAGCATGCACTAGTTGCGTGGATATGTGCGCTATATAAATATCCTATAATAATAATTTTAAAAAATAACTCCTTTACTGTCGTCAAGCTTCCCTGCCACATAGTCACAGCGTCACCTACTTTCGTGACAGCGTCTACGTAGCTATTGAATCTTCTGTTTTTATACCCTACATCGGCATTTTTAATTTAGGCGGTTGGTTCGGGTTAGCGTCAGTTGAATATTAAAAAACCCGCCAGTCCTTGTATTTTCAGTCGGCAGTAAAAATGTCACTTTGTTGTGAATGGGTGCCATGTAATATGCAAGCCAGTGTTGTTCTCATGACCTACAAGTTCCCTGAATGGTTGTGCTAAACATGGTTCAACAACATGCAGGCATATTGCAAGGTACGCCTGAAGCATGACGGGCTGTTACAATCGCCTGAAGTAACGTTCTGGATCAACCAATCAAAATACAGATACTCTCAACATTATCACATTTGTTGATATGGGTTTGTTGCGTAAGAGATTTTCAGTGGACACAGGCTTCTCGGGAAAGTTTTGAAATTTGCAATGTAAGTATATGCATGTCTATATTTCAAAATGATTCCTTACGATAGTTTGTTTGTTTGTTGTTTAACGCCACACTCAGCAATATTCCAGCTATATGGCAGTGATCTGTAAATAATCGAGTCTGGACTAGACAATCCAGTGATCAGCAGCATGAGCATCGATCCGATGGGATCCGATGCCATGTGTCAACCAAGTCAGCGAGCCTGACCACCCGATCCGAATAGTTGATCTATGGACACATTAGATACAGCTCATCTTTGGACAGAACAGCTGATCTAATGTGGTCATAACGTGGACAAAGAGACCAAGCACTGTCCAGCATTTTAGCCATTCAAACTGGCCCACGCGTCGACCACTAAAAAGAGTACTGCCCTACAACTCGGACACTTTGCTCCATGGCTCGCTCTCGAGCAGTGTCATCGTGAACTTAGGCTTCATTCAAACCTACCTACCAGTTTGAAAACCAGTAAGTGGAGCGTGTGAATAATAGCACGGGAAGGAGCTAAGTGTCTGGAACGTTATACAACATTTACATTTTATTTCATCGTTACTAACCCTGACCGCAGTTGCATAGCAACACGTCCACGTGGTGTTGAACCCCACCCAGTACGAATTGACGGCAGTGCAGGCCGAGTAACCGACTTAACGATCGACACCTGCCGTGTCCGGACGTCATCAACTTTCATTATTAAATTACATTATCACATTTTCAACTCACATTATCAACTTACACTTAAACTCTTTATTACTGACTTACATGATCAAAACAAACTCACATAATCAGCTTACATGATCAAAACAAACTCACATAATCAGCTTACATGAACCTCTTGAATATTGACTTACATGATCAAAACAAACTCACATAATCAGCTTACATGAACCTCTTGAATATTGACTTACATTTAAAAAAAACTCACATAATCAGCTTACATGAACCTCTTGAATATTGACTTACATGATCAAAACAAACTCACATAATCAGCTTACATTAACCTCTTGAATATTGACTCACATTAGCAACCGTACATCAGCATCAGCTTACATCAAACTCGTTATTATTGCCTTACATGATAACAAAAATTCACATCATCAGCTTACATCAAACTCGTGAATATTTATTTACATTATCAACTTACATCATCAGATTACATCCAACTCTGTATCATTGGCTTACATTATCAACTTACATCGTCAGTTTGCATAAAACTCTGTATTATTCAGTTACATTGTCAACTTACACCATCAACTTACATCAAATTCTTTATCATTGACTTACATCGTCAGCTTACATCAAACGCTTTATTATTGACTTGCATTATCAACTTACATCATCAGCTTACGTGAAACGCTTTAATATTGACTTGCATTATCAACTTACATATTCAGCTTACATCAAACGCTTTATTATTGACTTGCATTATCAACTTACACCATCAACTTACATCAAACGCTTTATCATTGACTTACATTATCAACTTACATATTCAGCTTACATTAAACTCTTTGTTATTGACTTACATTGTCAACTTACACCATCAACTTACATCAAATTCTTTATTACTGACTGCAGTATCAACTTACGTTATCTTAATGGATTCCTGGAAGCTTTAAGAAGTTTTCAGAACATGAAGACATGAAATATTTCCGAGTATAACTTGACGAAGTTTCATGGCTACTTCTCGCGAAACGTCGTTCTTGGATTTACCAAGTAAAAGGAGTTTCGTTTGATAAGGTTTAAGCAACGTTTCTTACTCTTCCTTGTTCCTCTCGTTTCAGCATGTCTGAGAAGAAGGCTGTGATGAAGAACGCCGACATGGGCGAGGACCAACAGCAAGATGCTGTTGACTGCGCCATGATTGCTCTTGAGAAATACAACATTGAAAAGGACATCGCCGCCCACATCAAGAAGGAGTTTGACAAGAGGTACAACCCAACCTGGCACTGCGTCGTCGGTCGCAACTTTGGCAGCTACGTCACCCACGAGACCAGGAACTTTGCCTACTTCTACATATCCCAGGTGGCTATTTTGCTCTGGAAATCTGGATAACGTTTGACCATGCAAGTGCTTATAACCATGGCGTCGCGGAGGACTGTGTAGTTCTTAGTGGAGACATGATTGTGTCTTAAAGGCGGTCTCGGACCTGCCGGTCAAGATGGGCTGCCCACAGAAACATACGTCGCTGTAGTTACGACGCTGTATAGGACTGCCCTTGGCTGACACCTCTTGTGTGAGAATGTATCAACAGGTAGAGAAATCGTTAGGTCATTAACTGTGATCCTCCGACTGAACATGGACATGTTGACTATTTATCTATGACATTCGCTATACATTTGTCTCAAATAAAAAGAAAACATACCGTTTACCATGTTATATTTTGAATGATTCTGATCTATGTTTCCTGTTTTGGTGGTTGAAGTCTTTTTCCTCTTTTGTGAGGTGAGGTGAAATTGGGTTTTACGTCGTGCTTGAGAATATTTCGCTCATATGACGACGTGCATGCGTGTGTATGTGTATGTGCGGCTGCTTGTACTAGTCCAGACTTAAGCTGGTTTTATAGTGCTAGCCCACTGAGATACCATGCCACAGTGAAGCATGAATACCCCACTCAGACACATTTTTCTGACTCCGAGCCGACCAGTCCTTGTTGTACCCATTAATGCCGAGCGCCAGGCAGGGACCAACAAGTACCATATTTTAACGTCTTTTGGTTTGACGCGGTCGGGGATCGAACCCGCGACCTTCCGCTCTCTGGGCGGACGCTCTAACCACTACACCACGGAGGCGGTCATTCCTCTTGTGTGTGTGTGTGTGTGTGTGTGTGTGTGTGTGTGTGTGTGTGTGTGTGTGTGTGTGTTGTGTGTGTGTGTGTTTGTGTGTGTGTGTGTGTGTGTGTGTTGTTGTGTGTGAGTGTGTTGTGTGTGTGAGTGTGTTGTGTGAAAGTATATGCGTGTAAGTGTGTATGTTGTGTATGTATATGCGTGTGAGTGTGTGTTTTGTGTATGTATATGCGTGTGAGTGTGTATGTTGTGTATGTATATGCGTGTGTGTGTGTTGTGTATGTATATGCGTGTGAGTGTATGTTGTGCATTTATATGCGTGTGAGTGTGTATGTTGTGTATGTATATGCGTGTGAGTGTGTATGTATATGCGTGTGTGTGTATGTTGTGTATGTATGTGCGTGTGAGTGTGTATGTTGTGTATGTATATGCGTGTGAGTGTGTATGTTGTGTATGTATATGCGTGTGAGTGTGTATGTTGTGTATGTATATGCGTGTGAGTGTGTATGTTGTGTATGTATATGCGTGTGAGTGTGTATGTTGTATATGTATATGCGTGTGAGTGTGTATGTATATGCGTGTGAGTGTGTATGTTGTGTATGTATATGCGTGGGTATGTTGTGTATGCATATGCGAGTGAGTGTGTGTTTTGTGTATGTATTTGTGTGAGTGTATGTTGTGTATGTATATGCGTGTGTGTATGTTGTGTATGCGTGTGAGTGTGTATGTATATGCGTGTGAGTGTGTGTTGTGTATGTATATGCGTGTGTATGTTGTGTATGTATATGCGTGTGAGTATATATGTATGTGCGTGTGAGTGTGTATGTTGTATATGTATATGCGTGTGAGTGTATGTATATGCGTGTGAGTGTGTATGTTGTGTATGTATGTATGTATATGTGTATGTATATGCGTGGGTATGTTGTGTATGTATATGCGTGTGAGTGTGTATGTTGTGTATGTATATGCGTGTGAGTGTGTATGTATATGCGTGTGAGTGTGTATGTTGTGTATGTATATGCGTGGGTATGTTGTGTATGTATATGCGTGTGAGTGTGTATGTTGTGTATGTATATGCGTGTGAGTATGTATGTATATGCGTGTGAGTGTGTATGTTGTGTATGTATATGCGTGTGAGTGTGTGTGTTGTGTATGTATGTGCGTGTGTGTATGTGCGTGTCTGCCTGCCACTATGCGTGCGTTCATTCGTCCGTCCGTACATGCGTGCGTATGTATGTGCTGTTTGAACTTCAGATTGCTTCGTACCTAGGTTTGTTAAACCTTTTCATTCGTTTCATAAGTCAACGTAGCACTACGTTTGTCTTCGTAAGGACGTAGTACTTACAATCTCCTTAAAGCTACTATAACATTGCGTGATCTCTGGTTCAAGTAAAGGGTGTGTGTCGAGGCAGAGACCATTTCTCTGGTTGAGGGTCCATCTAATATTCTGCTGACATCGGCCAGAGTGACAGGAACGAGGGGCAGTAAGCGTGTGGGGGAATGTTGTTTTATGCCTCTGATCAACAAAACCACTGGTTGACAGGCTGCAAGAGAAACGAATCATGTCGTAAAATATTATGACATGACGACAGCATCAGCCAACAAAATATAGTTACGATATTCAATTTACAGGGTGCAGTTTTGACGTAGAGGGGTGATATGTGTGTGTGTGTGTGTGTGTGTGTGTGTGTGTGTGTGTGTGTGTGTGTGTGTGTGTGTGTGTGTGTGCGTGCGTGCGTGCGTGTGTGTGGAGGTGGTGGGGAGGGATATGGGTTTATGGTGTGGAGGGCTCAGTTAGGTTTCTGTTGTTGAGTGGTGACTTGGAATCGTGATGTGGAGCGGTGATATGGGTTCATGCTGTGGAAGGGTGATGTGGGTTTATTATATAGGGTGTGGATATGGGTTTATGATGTTATATGAGATTATGACGACATGACTGTGTAGGCATACTTAAGTTTTAAATATACCCTTTCTGCCTTCTAAATTCATCTATACACACAATTCCACTTTGTATATCCATTTACGCTGGATCCAAACTGCCGGTCAAAAGTACATGTATTAGTTTTGGAACGCCTCAGAGGCTAGCCCATGTTTGGGGTGCTGCATAAAACAAACACCAAACATCTTTATCCGAATTCATTGTATATCGGACCCGTGAAGATCCGGGTTAGAACTGGCAATCCATTCTTGTTGTAAAAGGCGACTAACGGAATCGGGTGGTGAGGCTCGCTGACTTGGTTGACACGTGTCATTGTATCCCAGTTGCGTAGATAGATGCTCATGATGTTGATCACAGGATTGTGTGGTCCAGACTCGATTATTTACTGGCCGCCGCCATATTGTTGGAATATTGCTGAGTTCATGACAACCATATTCACGACGACACTGTCACAGTTTAGACAAGTCACCAATTATAAATTCTAGACCGCCGTGATATTGCTGGAATATTTCTAAAAGCGGCGTAAAACTAAACTCACTCACTCCAGTCCTGCAGGGTTAGGACATTGAACTGTTGTATTCATAATCAGGTACTCAAACCATTTGATTGTTCCTAGGGTCTCGCCAATTGCGCAGATCGATGCTCATGATGTTGATCACTGGATTGTCTGGTCCAGACTCGATTATTTACAGATCGCCGCCATATAGCTATAATATTGCTGAGTGCGGCGTAAAACTAAACTCACACACTCTCTCGGATATTTCACATGTAGAGTCCAGTGGATTTTCACCCGAAGAGTACATTGCACATCTGCCTCTTTTTTGTTTTGTTTGTATTTTTGCCGTTTGGTCATGATTAAAATGACATATCGTCAACGTGAACGTTTTATTGACATTTTTCAGGAACATATGCAGGTAACATATTCTTACATAATGTATTATGACCAGATAAGTTTATTTTAGAGACAGTTTTACATCAATTACGTAAGGCGTGTATGGTATCATCGGAAGAAATGTACCTAAGTATTTTAAAGTGAATTATAATATATTCCATCATTTTCGGCACAAATGCAATAATATGCCAATATTTACACTTTTCAAATTAAATCACTGCAATTACTGTATACACAGGCAACACAGACAGGAACAATGATGTTTATGATGTTTATGCACACACGGCCTTAAAAAAGATTAGCTGACTATTAATGCTTGTACCGGAACTAATTGCTTTATCTGGTACAGTACAGTTTGGGGTGTGTGAAATAAGTGCGTTCAATTGAAAGTGCGTTTGGTCTTAAAGCAGTGATTAATCGTGATCAATTTGTCAGTGCAGGTTGCATAAAGAAGCTACGCTTTTAAATACTTATTTCTCAATACATATATTATTTTGTTTGTCTTTTCAAAGCATATACTGCACTAGAAACTGTCGGGCTGTCGAGATATACAGTGATTCATTCTCATGGCATTTGCGGTTGTCAATAAACACTTACGCAGAGTTACCTCCCCTAACTCTTTCATCGCGTGATGGACATGCCCGTGTGTGACTACCACCACCAGTATTCGATGATACATAATGGCAAAGAAGCCGTGTATTGAGGTCTGCGGAGTTTACTTACCTTCAGGGTGCTCGTAGATAGCTTTGAATAACATCTCTAAAGCAAGAATATTGTGTATGTGAGCTCGGAAGCTACACTGACACCAAGACATTGAAAGTTCCCTTCAGTACGCACTGCCTGTTTCAATATGGACGCATTTTTGAGGGCCGTTCGAAAGAGCCCGACAGTCTCAGGCAAATCAAGACATAAAAGTAAGTTAAGTTTGAATATGAATGACATATATCTCATCTTTAAACTTGACTTCGTATGTGGACTATTTGGATTGTTTTCAGAGAATCATCTCCAACCGGAATGCGGGTATAATCTCATTGTTTATGTCGTGTGGAAATGTCACCTATTTGGTATTCCATCAGCATGATCGGTACATACACACAGCAGTGGCCTAGACTGTTAAGAGTGGAATACTGACACGTAACATATTTTGTCCCATACATCACGACGATAATTATATTGTCTTAATCTCACTCGGGTTCAAAATTTACTTTCATGAATCCCTTTAAACCAGATGTAACCAATGTCATTTGAAGTCACACGATTTGACATGCTTACCCAGAGAGACCACTCCTCTAAAGTTTATCAGTGACGGCGGGATAAAAATAAAGAAGCATGTCACTCTCTAAATTCGGAAGGACTTCAACCCGAATCCCCCCTTAAATTTCATTCTGGTCAAATCATGTCACCTGAATATATATTACTCATCTGATAACAATGCGTTTTAACATGTTTCTTTCTTTAATTGTATCTTAACTTACTGAAAGACATATCCAACTTCTAAAATGCCACTCAAAGACATTTTTCCTCATTGCTAAAATGTAGGGGGGGGGACAAAGTGACATGCGGTTATGGGAGGGTAAATGTTTTCAGTTTTCAGACACCATTTTTCATCATTTCATGTGTTACAGCATTTTTTTATCTCTAAACATGCTAAAAGTTGCTCATTGAATTCAAATCATGCATAACATATTTATAGGGGATAGATCGTTGACCGTTCTAGAACATTGTTTGTAAACAATGTCCATAAGTACACGTTTCTGCTCCATTGACTACACTGCTGGTGTAGGCTTATCACATGGTGGACTTTTCCTGGTATGTAAACAATCTGCTCTTGTTCTGAAATAATAGCAAACAGGCCAAATTCTTTATGCTTTGTTTTTCCTCCCATGTTCTATGAGATAATAAATACTTCGACATAATACATTTATGCCGCTCTTAGCAATATTCCAGTAATATCATTGCGGATGTCACCAGAAATGGGGTTCACACATTTACCAACGTGGGGAATCAAATCTGGGTTTTTGGCATGACATTGACAAGCGAATACTTTAACGAGTAGAATGCCCAATCACCTCGATGATGGGAAGAGATAATATGGTTCGGGAACTGTGAGACAGACTAACAAACAGACGTCCTTAATCTTTAAGAGTGCCTGTGAGTCACTGAAGAGGAAGTAGAATTTGTTTTTTATAAGTTCAGTCAACAACCTAAGAATGCATTGTATGCTGATTTTTAAATTGTTATTATGTGTTTTGTGTTTATGATTTGCTTTAACTAAAAAAATTAATTTTGAAATAATGTACTGGAAGAATGTGACTGAGAGAGGTTTTAAACCGCTTTTAGGCCCAATAGTGTGATGTGATGTGTTTCCCTGTTAACTGACTGAACATAACCATGGTAACACAAGATTTCAGTTGTGATTACTGTTGTTGACAATACAAGCTTTTTAGGACATAGCAATCCAGAAGTAGAAAGAGGCATTAACAAAAATCTTCATACACCATACCTGTGAATTTGATAATTAATCCCATGTTTTAACTACAAGCCTAATCCATCTTCCAAAAGCAAGGGGTCAAGCCAAGGACATAAGACATCCTCCCTAGAAAAAGGGAGTTAACTCTCTACATAAGGCCTGTTTCCATCATTGGCAATATTACCAGTAGGCTGAAATTTTTCAGCATTATGTTTTGGCTGGATTAACAAGTCTAGTCACTCTGGGTAGCCTAATGGTTAAATCGTTGGCTCGTCACGCTGAAGACCCGGGTTCGAATCCCCACATGGGCACAATGTGTGAAGCCCATTTCTGGTGTCCCCCGCCGTGATGTTGCTGGAATATTGCTAAAAGCGGCGTAAAACCAAACTCAGTCAGTCAGTCTAGTCACTCTGTAGCATAACTCTGAAACTTCAAACTAGTTTCATGAGGGTGAAAACTGGATTTTTATAGTATGTTTCCTCCCTTGCCAAGGGAAGATGTTTTTTCTCTTGACCCGTGAACTATGTTGTGGTGTGTAATGTTCTGGTTGTTTCTGCTGCAGAGCTTGGCGAAGGATGGGGAGAGTCGGAGAACAATGAGGTTGTGGATCAGGGTGTGACGTTCTACATGAAGTACCTGGGCTCTATACTAGTGGAGGAACTGCCTGATGATGAGAGCTACGGAGATGGCATCAGTTCACGGGCTGTCCAAACTATTGTTGCTATGGTCAGTAGACTCTGTCCAAATCCTTGTTCCCTGTGTAGGTCATTGTTAGAATAGGGCTTGTAAAGTCTTACTTCCTGTACCAGTTCCGGTGACAAGCGTATATCCAAGAACCAGTTCTGGTTCCAAATTGCGTGACCGCCAAGTATGAGTTTACTAGACCGGACCAAGTGTACAACCATGCTTGGCTGTCACAGCTGTTGACAGTTGTAATAGGTGGCTAATTTGGGGGTGGTTAGTTCAGAAATTTGTTATTCCTGCGAGGATTATAGGTTCCTTACTGTCAACTGACAACAAGTGACATTTGTGGGAGACTAGGGGTTAAATATCAGGTAGATAAAAACTTTTTCCTGGTTGACTTCCAATTGTATTATAACCTATCAGTTTAAGGCAACCTAGTAGCATGTTGTTATTGTTTACTAGTGATATGATAATTAATTTCTAACCCTTATGGAGGTGACGATATCTTAGACAGTAGACATGATCTTTGATGATATCAATCATGTTGAGTGATCAGGGCTCCATATAGGGCCGTATCGGCGTATGTACGGATAAAAAATATGCACGATGCGGTAGGTAATAAATAAAAACGTAGCAGATACGCACCACAGCAATGGTCTACGGACTTAGAATCATTTACAGATGTACTTATCTGAAAAGTATTGTTTTATTGCATATTGACCTGTTTACACAACAGGTGCACATATGAAACGAAACACAAGATCACATACTCCATTTAAATTCCATTCAGTACTCTAAATGTACTTAAGTTTTTCCGGTACTCCTGATGTTGAAAAATTATCTGGAGCCCTGAGTGATGGTTAAAGATCATGAGCCATTGTTTGGTAGAGAATCCTGTTATCACGGTTATGTCAACAAGCCTATCAGGAAGATATGACTGTTACTGATATGGTATAAGGTGCGGACTTCCTTTAACTTGTTGATGGTTTTGTTGCATACAGTGTTTGTGTTGCATTGAAATTTGAAACAAAGGGCTTAGGCACTGGAGAAAGTTGGGGACATGTACAAAACGATGTAGCAGGGTTTTACATAGACTTCGAAAAATGAGAATCATGATGACTCACAATGAATGTTTTGGGGAATCATTTCTAAATTTCTGAGTCTTGAAAATATTTTGTCAATAAGATATTTCAATTATTATTTCTAAATGGAGCAAGGGCTGTGAAAGCACATTTTGTGAAATTGTCCTGCGTTGTAAGTAATCTGATGCAGTGCATCTGTACCTATATATATTTAACCCATGAAGATCCGGGTTAAAATTGATCTTCAGCAACCCATGCTTGTCGTAAGAAGCAAGTAACGGGATTGGGTGGTCAGGCTCGCTGACTTGGTTGACAGATGTCATCGTATCCCAATTGCATAGATCGATGCTCATGCTGTTGACCACTTTATTGTTTGGTCCAGACTCGATTATTTACAGACCTCCGTCATATAGCTGGAATATTGCTGAGTGCTGCATTAAACAACAGTCAAGCAAACAAACTAATTTATATTTAGTAATTAATTCATTCAAGGTACCCTCATATTTTGTCAGATGTGACTTGTATCAAAATATTTTGGGAGTATTTTGAAAAATTGTTAAGTCAAATATGCATGAATTACATGGATACAATGTAAGGTTGGACTGAGATGGTTTACAGTATTTGTTCTGCAGTTGAAACAAGTGTATTTCCATGTATATGTGGGGCGGTGGGGTAGCCTAGTGGTTAAAGCGTTGGCTCGTCATGCTGAAGACCCGGGTTCGAATCCCCACATGGGTACAATGTGTGAAGCCCATTTCTGGTGTCCCCGCCCGTGATATTGCTGGAATATTGCTAAAAGCAGCGTAAAACCAAACTCACTCAGTCAGTCCATGTTTATGCACCAGGCACCTGTTGTTGTCATTTTCTTGTCACAATTTGCCTGAAACACTGCTCAGCTGTAACTTGCTGTGCATGTACCCATACTTGCTTTCTCAAATATGCTTTGTATCCAATTAAAATATTACTGCACAAATTTGATTTAAATATATTCATGATATACCAATATGATTTTAAATATTTGCAAAACCTACCCTTGCTATGTGGATAAGGATAGAAATATTTGTGATTATGTTAGTACGTAGACAGCAAGGAAGACCTGTGTTGGTCATAACAGGATCCAACTTCTTTTGCTTATCATACATATGGTAGGAAGCAACAGTGTATAAGTTCTCTGGTAATTGTTTTGTCGGGAATATGGTACAGAAAGGAAACATAACAATTCACATACAAAAATAAAAACACTTAACATGTTCAGTGTTTGTGTCCGTTGAAATCAATAAACTAGAACAACGATGTTTACATGTAAACATGAAACATGTTTTTGCTTTAAATTTGCTGAATTTTAGTAATATTTAGTTGCTCTGATCCATCACCAAGTTTCAATTTTTTTAGCATTGAGTAAATACTTCAGGGTATCATGGGACCCTCTATTATCGCGGTAGTTAATGTTGTCTCCATCGGGATTAAGAACGGCTACTGACATTTAGCATGTTTTATATATTTTCAGTTGACTGATGTTTAATCTTCATTTCTGTCACAAATAATGTGACACATGGTCACAACTCGTTTAATACCATTGCGGCAATCCCGATTGTCTCGTTTGACCCGGAAATTGAAGCAACTCTCTATTATCGAGGTATTGCTATTGTCTTACTATGGCACACAGTACAAGCCGATGACACTGTGAAATGTTTACTAAGACAAGTAACGAATCTAAATAGTTTGATCATTAAAAAATATTTAGGAATTTCATTCACATTAGTAATATCATCATGTTTTTAACCCAAACATCAGAAACTTCTTTTCATCTGGATACACGGTAACAATAACGTTACAAAATATTGTTTTTCCGGCTTAAAACGTACCATACAAGTTGCTGCCGTGTGCAGAGTGAAGTTGCATAATACGTCACTTCCTGTTATATTTTTAGCACGGAAAATACGCAAATGACCTTATAGTTGTCGCAGGATTGCTCTTGATGAAGAAAGTTTTGATTCATGCTAGATGTAATGGCAGTAGGGGTCATACTAGTTTCAAAATGTTCTAGAACTTACTGAAAAGATGAATGCTTTAATATTTCTCCGATTACACATAACAATCAAATGAAATAGATGACTTTTTCAAGAGCGATGAATATATTTTACGTAATTTGCATATGTAAACAGCCGATGCAGGGCGTGGTGTTTCTGCTTTCCCGATGTTTTCGCGTGCCGCGATAATAGAGAATCCCAATATACATGATATTTACAAATTCGGTTTTACATAGTTTTCAATGAAATACCGTTACCAAGTAGTCTCCAAAAATATTGTGTCGTACAATTCTGTTTCTGCTTCTGACCTGGGTTAAAGCGTTTGCTCATCATGCCGAAGACCTGGGTTTGATTAACAACACAGGGAAAGAAACCTTTTTAAACTGTCCCACTAGACCACAGGACCATTGAGTGGACAATAATTAGTGGCCCTGTCTGTACTTCACTGGTCCAAAATAACATTCGTATACTTACTTAACTATTAATACAAAATTCACTGGCCACCAGGACCAGTGGAAACATTTAGTGGTCCTGGTGAATTTCTACTAGCCAGGGACCACAGGGCCAGCGTAAATTTCGAACTCTGCAACATGGGTACAATGTGTGACTGTGAAAACTGGTGGCGTAAAACCAAATTCACTCACTCACTCTGATCTATGGCCAACACAAGTATATTTAGTACAACTTATGTGCTTATCTAATGAAAATATTGTTATTTAGTACAACTGAACTTATCTGCATATCAGGTAAAAACATGGTTATCATTACTACTTCTTATTTAATACAGTTTATCAGGTAGGAACATAATTACCACTTATAGTTAAACGGTGAGATTGACTCACCAAGAACAAACACAGCAAAAATTGCAGTAAAATCAAAATCAATTATCTTACTTTACTCTCATGCCTCGACCTTCATCAAAACTCATACAAGATAGCATCACATTAATATCAGTGATTATCTTTCAGGCTAAGAGTGCTGGCAAGAAGCTGAAGAAAGTGTCTCTAACTGTCTCCCCTACAGGGATCCGAATGACCGACCTACTGACCAAAGAGGTCTCCATTGACATGTCTATATACAGGTCAGTTGGTCATGTTGGTTGACCGATGATGCCACATGGCTGTCACAGCTTGAACATTTCTAGTTCTTGAATGTAGTTGAAAGGGATTTAGAAATTGGACGAACATGAATACATGACAAGTTTTTATGGGCAACAACTTCTTTTTATTCTTTATACAGCTAATTCTTGCTCCTTCATCAAGATGAATACAAGATGAATTAGCAAGAATTAGCTCTGAAATGTTGTATAAAGAATAAAAAGAAGTTGTTAAAAACATGTCATGTATTAATGAATATTTCTAGTCTAGATTCACTACATAGTTGTGTTGACATTCATTGAAACTCAACAAGTGGGACAATTGTTGTCAAAAAATAGGTCAATGTGTGTTAAAAGCTAGGTCAGTGGGCGTGGCACTTCCTGGAACTGGCAGTAGCAGAATGAAGCCACATGGTGAAAGGGTTCCCAACATTGGCAAGGAATGGTAAAAAAACAATGCGAGGCTTTTGTTATGGAGTGCGTAATTCCATGAATGTGGCTGTTTACAAATCGGCATTGTAGAAATCTATACAGGGGCATGCAGCAGCATGTGGGTTGGGTTTCATGTGGAACATATTTGTCAGAATCTGGAATAACATTTGAAGATAGATCTGTTTATTCTTAGGTCATTGTGACATGCAACTGGGATAACGTGTGAGTGAGTGAGTTTAGCTTCGCAGTAAGACCTGGGCAGGATGGAAAATAATGCAGAGATGCAAACCCTTACGCTTTAGGGGTAATTATTATGATTTTGACCATTAAATTACGCCATTACACTGAATCTGCGAAAATTACGCTTTTCTGCTCGTTTTACGAAAATCAATAAAGTGGATAGATTTTCACAGGGAAGTGTTTCGAAACGCACAGGTGCAGGGATGCAGAAATGGCCTTGCACCGATAGGAATCGCTTACTCTTAGCATCGCACTCATTTCTATTAACTTGCAAGGAAAAGTATTTTGAGTCACATGACCAACAATTTTCGATGTATGGAGCTTCATTGTGATTGGTCACATGTGTTTCTGCCCAGAATCTTCCTTTCGTGAAACCGTGTACCATGTTGAAGCGATCGGCAGACACGTATTACACTTTTTAGGTCCAAATTACACTTTCTGACCTCTAGTATTACACTTGGGCCAAAAATAGGGTTGGCATCTCTGAATAATGTGGTTCAGGAACTGTGGGACAGACTACTTGTCTGACTAACTTCCTTGTTGAACAGTCACCATAAAAACAATGATATATGTCCTGTGACAATCACGGGTTAGAACTGGACCCTGGTAGCCTATACTGGTCAAAGTACAGGTTGGGTAGCCTTGTGGTTAAAGGGCCAAATACCCAGGTTCGATTCCCCACTTGGGTGCTCTGTGTGAAGCCCATTTCTGGTATCCCCTGCTGTGATATTGCTGGAACATTGCTAAAGACGGTGTAAAACCCAATTCACTAGCTCACGATACTGATCAAGTAAGTGATGAAATGATCACAGGGAATGTCGCTGAGTGAGGCTTAAACACATGGATTTGATTAACATTTGTTCTGCCTCAATGTCGCAAATATATTTCAAAAGTAAAGTGTGTATGTTTTTGTTTTTATCATCATGATCAATATTGGTATTTGCCCAGCATTTGAGAGAAGTGTTGTTGCTACTGCACTTGTTTGATCATGTCAACAGCTGTGGTTTGTTGATGGTGAGTGTATCTCACCTGCTTCGGTTTGTTGTAGAATCTCCTTCTGCACAGCTGACAAAAACCATGAGAAGGTGTTTGCTTTCATCGCCAGGAACTCCATCAATGAGACAATGGAATGCCATGCTTATTTCTGCGCCAAAAGGAAATTGGTAAGGAGAGTGCAAATGTGCCTAATATAACAGTGTGGTCCTGTGGTCCCTGGCATGTAAAAATTCATCAGGACCACTAAATGATAAGTTTGCAGGGGTCCTAGTGGCCAGTGAATTTTGTATTGATAGTTAAATAAACCTTATTTTGGACCAGTGAAGTACAGACAGGACCACTAATTATTGTCCAATCACTGGTCCTGTGGTCTAGTGGGAAATTTTGAAAGGTTTCTTTCCCTGAATATATGTTGTATCCAAGTTGCATCTGATTGTTATTCTCACGTGCAACCATGATGTTTTATCAGGTTGGTCCATTTGTTCTTTCTGGATCGGGGCGGTGGGGTAGCCTAGTGGTTAAAGCGTTGGCTCGTCACGCCGAAGACCCGGGTTCGAATCCCCACCTGGGTACAATGTGTGAAGCCCATTTCTGGTGTCCCCCGCCGCGATGTTGCTGGAATATTGCTGAAAGCGGCGTAAAACCAAACTCAGTCAGTCAGTCAGTCTTTCTGGATCGTTCCAGGAAATGTATACCCCAACGTGGGATGTGTAGTTTTATTGATTATACACAAGAAAATATCATTGTAATAGGTGTTTGATTCATATATGTCAATCATTTTTAAAGTTATGTTCGCCTATATATTTGTACCATGGTTACCATGGTAACTGTAAAAAATCTATTCTTCTCTTCTTTATTTACTTGTTGGTGTCATCTACCACAGTGTTGTGGTATCATTTTGTGTTGTGTTTCCAAAGTCTGGTATTAAACAGATCTTATTTGCATTAAAACACTGAAAAAGTGCTGCCTAATCAATTTCATACACACATGTATTTACACAGGATTTTTCCCTTACTGTTGTCAGGTAACAATGTGCTGTAATCAATAATTATGGGATTGCATAAGGTACATTTCAAAAACTGAATCAGATTTTCCAGAATCAATCTTGCTGGGCTGAATGCATTCATATTGGCTGTGGTGTGAAGTGAATAGAGTGTTTGAAATATCAGTGTTATGGTATAAAGCATTGCATGCATTTTCAAGACAAAAAGTAACTATTTTGATTCTGAGTGGTAGTACATGTTAGACTGTGGATTTTAATCATTCGGTTATCGCTGGATGGAGTTAAGTTCATGGATCTACTTCGTATATGATGCAAAACAAGAATGTGTTTATCTGTTAAGGAATCACTTTGCATGCTTGAATCAATAATTACTAGATTTTTCATCCTGAGCCCATTTCACTATCAAACACAAGCATTGCACATATGGAGTTGTCCCATATTGTCCTGTTGTAACCCAAGCAGATTCTTATTCTAGAGAGTAGGTGGACTATAAAAAGGGAATCAAAATTCTGAAGGATGAATGGATGGTCTTTGTCTCTTACACCACCACCACAAATAATTGTGTCCCTTAATCATACTCGTCATGCCAATGACCAGGGTTCAATTCCCCACATGGGTACAAAACAATGTGTGTAGCCGATTTCTGGTGTCCCCCATCGTGATATTGTTGGAATGCTGCTAAAAGCAGCGTAAAACTAAATTCACTCACTGTCTATCTAGGGGCGCTTTACAAATTTTTCCTGACGTTTGTCAGCTGCATTTATCGGAGTAATCATACTGTATTTTAAAGACCATCCATATTCAGTCCCAATTTCCTATGTGTTTAGGCACAGGCGGTCACTCTGACAGTGTCGCAGGCCTTCGGTCTGGCCCAGGATAAGTGGGAGAACAAGCAGAATACGAAGACCCAGAAGGATATAGCCAACCACCAGAAGGTATGTGCAGCACCTTTACTCAAGGATAACTCTGGCTGGGATACCAGGGTGCCGATCCACAAAGTGTGTGTAGCACTATGATGTAACTCTAAACTTTATCATAGACTTGTGGGGCAGTACGGCAGCCTACTGGTTAATAGTGCTGGTATTTGCATACAACTTGCGATACGATACATCACGATCTATTGACAAAGTATCGTGCACTGAAGCTGCGATACGATACGAATCTCGATATAAGGTTGACGATACAATACGTATCACGATACTAAAATATTTAATTCTAACACCTACTATAAAACACCTGAATGTCAAAACAAAACCATTTTAAAGTATTTCGTCAAATTCCGCCAGTGTTTTTTTTTCAATGTTCATTCGGAAACGAGATAATTAAGTTTATACACGGACTTTGTGAATGATAATAACATGTGAGCGCTATGTCGGACACAGTTCTTGACGCAAGAATTTCTGAGAAAACGTTTACTTATGAAGGGAAAATAAGTACCGGGTAAGCAAATGTTTAATCATCAAACAAAAGTGAGTCTTTTTTCTTGACAGATATCGCGATTCGGCAATATTCAAAGTTAAACATCGATGTATCGTTGCCCATTTGAAGTATCGTATCGGGATATACGACAGTGTAAAACTTTGTATCGATTCACTGTATCGGCGGCCCATGGATCTATGTATCGATGCCTATCGATGAATCGCCACACCACTAGTGGTTAAAGCGTTCGCTCTTTACGCCGAAGACCTGGGTTTGATTCCCCACATGAGTACAATGTGTGAAGCCCATTTCTGGTGTCCCCCGCCATGATATTGCTGAAATATTGCTAAAGGGGCATATTCCTAAACTAACCATCACTCACTATCATAGACTTACGAATGGCGTAGTGCTATGAACTTCTATGGCTAGGGTTAGAAAAGGTCCCCAGCTACCAATACTGGTCCACCTGTGAATATCTGGGTTAGAATTGATCTTCGGTAACCCATGCTTGTCATAAGAGGCGACTAACGGGCTCGGGTGGTCAGACTTGCAGACTTGGTTGACACATGTCATCGTATCCCAATTTTCTAGATTGATGCTCATGCTGTTGATCACTGGATTGTCTGGTTCAGACTCGATTATTTACAGACCGCCGCCATATAGCTGGAATATTGCTGAGTGCCGTGTTAAACAACAAACAAACTAGTCAATGCTGGTTATAGACGGTGACTGAAAAATAGTCTGACTGGAAAATTGTCTTGTCAGGTTCAGTGACCTGGTGGTGCCATCATACCCCAACAGCATATCATTGGTAACAAATATGTCACTTGATTGTCTGGTCCAGCCTTCATTGGACTATTAATAAGTGCAACTTTGAACCTGGTGAACTTTAAATACTGAGGTTTGTGTCTTTGAACGGCATTTAGAAGTGACACACATGAAGGCGGATATCTTTGGATGTCAACTTCTTTATTTTGAGGGACATGACGTTTTGCTTATTCTCACTCATCAGGTGACATGTTATTTGAGAAACACTGAGATTTGTGTTGATAATCTTGTTGCAATGTTGTCACTGTAAGTTATATATGGTTTCATACATTGTTGTCGAAAGTGCGACAATATAACCGGTTTACCGGTATTTACCGTTCAGACATGAAAATAATACGTATTGCGATACGCTGATCCCAAAACCGGTATTTTGTATTGCGTTCGGAAAACCTCCTAACACTCAGAAATCTTCAGATATTACCTTGTTTTATTTGTGCCAAACATTATTTACATTTTTATTTGTCATGAATTTAGTTAAATTTAATCGAGCATAGCTATTTTGTTGTTTTTGCTTCATGAATCAAGCATTAACATGATTATAAGTAGTTTTTTGTTTAAAATACTTCTTGCAATATATTGCAATACATATCACAATACATGCTTTCGCATTGCAATATATTGCAATATGAAAATTCTCTGCAATACCCACCCCTAGTGGAAAGAAATACAACCAGGTTCTTATCTTTAGAACTCCATAGATAAACTGGCGTAACACTAAACTCACTCACTCACTCACTCCATAGATAAACATGCCAATCTTGTTTCAGATAACGAAACAGGATAATTTTACGAGGAGTCACGATGTCATAAAGCCGCTGGCAGGTCACACCGGGTCAACAGCTGCAAACTACGACCCTTTCCTAGGTTAGACTCTAAACCACAGGTTCTATTGTTTTATTTGAAGGGCTTGAAGTCAGCAATAGATAACATGTTTGCTTGTCCGAGATTTCGAAAAGCACAAGACAAGTGATATTTCCATCTGAACTACATGTACTACTTTTAAGCTTAGATCGCCTGGCTTGCTAACGTATCTGTCATGTCTTTAGTAGATATTTTTAGTCAACTATACATGTATAGAAAAAAGAAAATATTTTCTAATTTTCTCTTTCATGGTTATTTTACATCTTCTTATGAAGTAACTAGAAGACACTTCTCATTAAATCCATGATTGGTATATTATACTTTACTGTACTTCAAAACTGAACATTTTGAAATGGTTGCAAAATAAGTTTGGACAAAAAGCAAAGAAAAAGTTGAGTTCAGTGTATTTGTGATCAGTGATGATGTAAGGAGAATTATTGGTTGGAAATTGGTGTTGTGGTAAGTCTGAGAATCACTGTTGTATCCCGTAGCTTTAGTTTGTGCTATATGTTTCAGCGATCCCCGGCCCACCCCAGGTCCAGACACCAGGCAATACCAACAAGCGACAGTGGGTAAGTACACTGCTTTATGGAATCACCAAAATATTGTGTCCTTCACAATGTGTGTAAAGATCCAGGTTAGAATTAGGGGTCTTTAGTAACCCATGCTTGTCGAAAGAGGCGATCGGGATCGGGTGGTCAGGCTCGCTGACTTGGTTGACACATGTCATCATATCCCAGGTGCATAGATTGATGCTCATGCTGTTGATCAATGGATTGTCTGGTCCAGACTTGATTATTTACAGACTGCTGCCATATAGCTGGAATATTGCTGAGTGTTGCGTAAAACTAAACTCACTCAGTCACTCACCATGTGTGCTATCCCTACTTTTCACAACTCTGTCGCTGAACATCTTCAATGAGATGTGTTTACCAGTGTTAAGTACTCATTCTTTCCCACCCTTGAGTTTTAATGCAGTTAGGTAGTATTGTTTTATGTCACTTTTAACACTTGTCCAGCAACATCAATGCAGACTACACCAGTGAAAGGCTCCCACATCAAACCCTAGTTTCAATGTGACAAGCGAATGTTTTAACCACTAGGCTTCACAACCCCTTTCCTCTTTTAATGCAGTGACACATTTATTTCTGTTAAAACATATTCCCTTTTTCAAGTGTATATGTTTTGTCTTTCAGCAAGAATTTGGTGATAGAGAGGAAGACTTGGAGGATGATTTCTCCAGGTGAGTAGGGCAGGACTTGATCAGTCAGTGATGTCTGTCAGTTCAACGTTATGTATCGTAGGTATATCTGATGTCCTGATGGCTGTTGTTTCAAATGTTGAAAGATGAAGACAGTCTGACACTTATCCAGGAGAAGATATGAGACCATCTGTGACCCAGGCAGGGGTAGAGGGAGACCATCTGTGACCTAGGCAGGGATAGATGGAGACCATCTGTGATCTAGGCAGGGGTAGATGGAGACCATCTGTGATCTAGGCAGGGGTAGAGGGAGACAATCTGTGACCTAGGCAGGGGTAGAGGGAGACAGTCTGTGACCTAGGCAGGGGTAGACGGAGACAATCTGTGACATAGGCAGGGGTAGATGGAGACAATCTGTGACCCTAGGCAGGGGTAGATGGAGACCATCTGTGACCTAGGCAGGGGTAGAGGGAGACAATCCAGACCTAGGCAGGGGTAGAGGGAGACAGTCTGTGACCTAGGCAGGGGTAGACGGAGACAATCTGTGACATAGGCAGGGGTAGATGGAGACAATCTGTGACCTAGGCAGGGGTAGAGGGAGACAATCTGTGACCTAGGCAGGGGTAGAGGGAGACAGTCTGTGACCTAGGCAGGGGTAGATGGAGACAATCTGTGACCTAGGCAGGGGTAGAGGGAGACAATCTGTGACCTAGGCAGGGGTAGAGGGAGACAACCCAGACCCAGGGGGTAGATGGAGACAAAAGGCAGGGGTAGATGGAGACAATCTGTGACCCAGGCAGGGGTAGATGGAGACCATCTGTGACCCTAGGCAGGGGTAGATGGAGACAATCTGTGACCTAGGCAGGGGTAGATGGAGACAATCTGTGACCTAGGCAGGGGTAGAGGGAGACAATCTGTGACCTAGGCAGGGGTAGAGGGAGACAATCTGTGACCCAGGCAGGGGTAGATGGAGACAAAAGGCAGGGGTAGATGGAGACCATCTGTGACCTAGGCAGGGGTAGATGGAGACAGTCTGTGACCTAGGCAGGGGTAGATGGAGACAATCTGTGACCTAGGCAGGGGTAGAGGGAGACAATCTGTAACCTAGGCAGGGGTAGAGGGAGACAATCTGTGACCCAGGCAGGGGTAGATGGAGACAAAAGGCAGGGGTAGATGGAGACAATCTGTGACCCAGGCAGGGGTAGATGGAGACAGTCTGTGACCCAGGCAGGGGTAGATGGAGACCATCTGTGACCTAGGCAGGGGTAGATGGAGACAGTCTGTGACCTAGGCAGGGGTAGATGGAGACAATCTGTGACCTAGGCAGGGGTAGAGGGAGACAAGTGACCCTAGGCAGGGGGTAGAGGGAGACAATCTGTGACCCAGGCAGGGGTAGATGGAGACAAAAGGCAGGGGTAGATGGAGACAATCTGTGACCCAGGCAGGGGTAGATGGAGACCATCTGTGACCTAGGCAGGGGTAGATGGAGACCATCTGTGACCTAGGCAGGGGTAGATGGAGACCATCTGTGACCCAGGCAGGGGTAGATGGAGACAATCTGTGACCTAGGCAGGGGTAGATGGAGACAATCTGTGACCCAGGCAGATGTAGATGGAGACAATCTGTGACCTAGGCAGGGGTAGATGGAGACCATCTGTGACCTAGGCAGGGGTAGATGGAGAACATCTGTGACCTAGGCAGAGGTAGATGGAGACCATCTGTGATCTAGGCAGAGGAAGAGGGAGACAGTCTGTGACCTAGGCAGGGATAGAGGGAGACAGTCTGTGACCTAGGCAGGGGTAGAGGGAGACAGTCTGTGACCCAGGCAGGGGTAGAGGGAGACCATCTGTGACCTAGGCAGGGGTAGATGGAGAACATCTGTGACCTAGGCAGAGGTAGATGGAGACCATCTGTGATCTAGGCAGAGGAAGAGGGAGACAGTCTGTGACCTAGGCAGGGGATAGAGGGAGACAGTCTGTGACCTAGGCAGGGGTAGAGGGAGACAGTCTGTGACCTACCCACAGGTAGATGTAGTGTAAAGGTAAGATAAAGCAGAGTTAATAGTTGCTGTTTTTCCTGTCTTTTACGGTAAACTACAGTTGATACGAACTCACAAGATCGCTGATTGTATCTCATTATCACCGAAGTTCCTTATAATTAAACAGCAAATAGACAGGACTGCCAAAGCAGTGTGTTATATATGTCAGTTTGCCAGATCATGTTTAATGAAAACATAATTCACATGCATATTGATATGGATAAAATAATGTTGATTACAACCTGCAACCTTTGGTGTTCCAGACTTGCCCAGAACAGAGGTCGACGCCTGCATTCTTTCAGCACCGACCTCTGCAAGGAAGATGTAGATGAGAGCGTCCAGCAGTATATGGACGGACAGAGGTGCTTCGAAGAATTCTCACGACAAAAATCTATTGAAGATTTGCTGAATTTATGACAAGGACGGGGACCGTAGTTAGTTTGAGTCAGTTTTTGCAGTTTTTTAAATTGTGACAAATCTTTACTAAATCACATTTAAATGACTTTTCCTGTTAGTCTTTCCTGTACATAATATCAAGTTCACAAGTAATTGTCAGAAATTTAAATCCATCTCTGGCTGTCATTTGTAAGAGACACATGGAAGTGGACATGCAGGATGTCCTTGTCTAAAGTGTTTGTACTTAAGTTGCCATAGCAACAGCTGTCTAGATGTTTAATTGACATCCTGTTTTTTGACAGAAGGATACACACAGTGGCAACAGGCATTTACAATGGGGTCTAGAGTGTGTGTTTATATATAATGTTTCACTTATGATGTCGGTTGGTGACAGCTTGGCAGTTGTATCCTTTCAAGGTGCAAGAAATTCTCTGTATTCAGAAACCTACACTTCCCTTAAGGTCAGATTTCCCGAGAGTATAATACAGGAACGACAATGGTAGTTCGATGACATCACTGCAGTCCGAGAGTTTCAAAGCAAATCTCTACATGTGTCTATGTAAGTTGACTGATTTTCATTAGAACTGTGCGGGGTGGTGGGGTAGCCAAGTGGTTTAAGCATTCACTCATCACATCCAAGACCCGGGTTTGATTCCCAACATGGGTACAATGTGTGAAGCCCATTTCTGGTGTCCCCTGCCGTGATATTGCTGGCATATTGCTAAAAGCGCAGTAAAACCAAACTCACATATTCGAAACTGCTGACCAGTCCTATATTAAACATAGTGTTGTAAGACCATTTTGTTTTCAACAATAACAATGTATTTTTCTATTCAGAAGTAACAAATTATTGTAATAATGAAAACATCAGAGGATTTGGAATTTTCATGTGGGTTTGGAAAGGCTGATGTGCTTGTCAGATAATACACTGGTATTGCCATGTGTCATTTTAGACTTCCTACCCTGTACGATCAGACAATCTGAAAACCATTAAGAATTGAAAAAATGTTTATCACTGTCCTGCATATTTCAATCATACCATATTTCATGGCGATAGAAAATCCCATAGGTATGAGTTCTGTCAGTGTTGGAATTGTCTGGATGGCAGATGTTGCATTTTTAAGCTCACCCATATTTTGTCAAATCTCCAATGACGTCCAACTACCTACTACTGCTTTCAGTAGGATAAGTTACCTTGTTTTCTGTGTAGACATTCAGCCTCCCATTCTGTAGGTTCAAATCCCAGACCCAGGAGATTAGGATCCTTGGTTACCACAATATTGGGTTTGTTGGTTCCAGCAGAATGGTAAGCAGAATGGTAAACAACCATGTACGGGCTGTTTACCAAACAACCTAAGGTTGTACCAAACAACCTTAGCGCTAAGACTACCTTAAGTCTATGTTAAGGTATAGGACTTATGGTCACCTTAGAGCTAAGTTCGCTTTGTACAACAGCACCCTTGTTTCTCACCCACATGTAGCAGACATGCCTTGAAATATTGCTCGAAATTCAACTCTTTCACTAACTTTCAGAGACAAGTTAACTAAATGTCGACTCATGTAACAGAGGGATGAGTGAATGCATGAATGTATGCAGCTTCATACATGGTGGACACCCATAGTAGCCTTTGCATATTCTGTCTATTAAGGAATCAAATTTTGGCGATAGTAGCGTTGAAGCAGAGCTGTAACTACTTCATTACAACACCTCCCATGAACCAGTAGGAAAGGGTTTTAGTTCACTGAAAAAAACCCACCATTTCCAAAGCTTCTCACAGGCATTCATTTAAGGGCAGGGGCAGTGGGGTAGCCTAGTGGTTAAAGCTTTTGCTCGTTGTCCTGAAGACCTGGATTCAGTTCCCCATGGATACTGTGTGTGAAGCCCATTTTTGATGCCCCCTGCTGTGATACTGCTGGAATATTGCTAAAGGCAGAGTAAAACTAAATTCACTTATTTAAGGGTAGATCTGTTTAATATTACTAAAGTTACATGCTTTAATGAAGGGACAATACTGAATAGGAGATGACAGTTTTCTTCAACATGTTCAATTTACACCTTTGCATTTTTAACTGAAGTCACTCGTGTTTGTACAGTCATATATTCGAAGTGTATATTTTGAGTTGATTTCATGACCTCTTGCATGTTTCAAGCATATTTTGTCAATTGAGAATTAACCATACAAGTCTTTATTATGTTATTTATTTCATCACTGTCCACATACTGATTCTGCATGTAATTATAGAATAGGGCAGCCTTGTTATTTAATTAGAATTTGCATGCAATTTATTGGATTGCACGTTTGACATATTACATTTATAACGTTCTTCGTGGAGTGCTTGGCAGGTTGATCTTGTCAGAATCAGCTTTAGTAAGTACTGTTCATAATTATTTGGTTTATTGTTTATTGTTAAAATTCAGTCTTGATGAATTCAAATTGTTTCTTTCAATGTCATACCTCACTGCATGATCATCTCACTAACTGACTCAGCAAGTCGCTTCACATGACATTTCTTATCAGCCAATCTGCATCAAGGCTCCATGATCCTTGGTATGAGTTAGCATAGCGCTCTTATCAGAATTTGATACACTCGTTGTCTCTGAGCACCAAGCACCGCTGTATACTACAATAATCAAGTTTTTGGGGAATATTTGTGTTGTGTGTGGATTTTAATTTTATTTTAAAGGTATGCATTAGGATAGTGACATCTTAAAGAGTAATGTTGGTTTTATGTCTGATACAGCTGTGTCTAATACAACTGTAAATATCTGATACAGCTATGGATGTCTAATACAGTTGTAAATCTTGAATACAGTTGGGTCTGATACAGCTGTAAATGTGGGATACAGCTTCGGTTGCATTTCGTTATCTGTAATATTCCCATCCTCGATAATCTCCAGGGTATATGTTACGATAAATCTCCACTATACCCTGGATGCATCTAAGGCTCGACCTGATGATTTTATTACCTCCCTTGGCTGGCTTTTTATCCAATCAGGTGTCTAAGCTGGAAAGTTGAGCATACCAATCACAACTCACTTTCGCTTCTTAAATTATCAAACCAATTAAACTTTGCAACGCAATTGTTGCAGAGGTACTCTGAAAGAGGTAGAAGGAGTTCTTGCATATATATTTTTAAGTTTCAGACCTGTCAATTTGTCTGTATGATTTCCCCAAAAATCTGAGTTGCACTGCGAACAAACCTTCGCAGCTGCCTCCGCTATCTTTGTTGACACTGGCAAGCTCATTTGTAATGGCGGCTTAGCTGACTGGCTACTGTGAGAATGCGGAGCTAGCAAAGGGAGGTAATAAAATTATCGTAGAAGTCACTTTGATCACACCACTGACAATGTGAACTGTTTAGATTGAGATATGCAGCAGCACTGCTGACTGACGCACTGTTGGAAGTTTGTATCTGTTTGCACTAGCACAGTTATCGTTGTTTCACTTATTAAACACGATTTGGCATTGCATTATTAAAGTATTAGGGACCGGTCCTTATTGGACGGGGTGGAGCTGTAGGAATCAGATTAGGGTCACCAAAAGCAAGTACAGTCTCAAAGTAGGAGCCCTTAAACATACTACACACATTCATGTTAAAAATGGAAAATTGCTTTAAATTTAATGTGTTTTTTTTTCTCTTAAATGAGGGAGGCAGTGGGGTAGCCTAGTGGTTAAAGTGGCATTCGCTTGTCGCCCCGAAAACTTGGGTTCGATTCCCCACATGGGTACATGTGTGAAGCCCATTTCTGGTGTCCCCCACCATGATAATTCTGGAAAGTTGCTAAAAGTGGCATAAACTAAACTTACTCACTCACTTAAATGAGGGTCATGAATAAAATCTGAAAGGAGTCGTGATATTTATCAAAATGTAGGAATAAGGGGAGGGTCATTATTTTCAGTACCCTACAGCATCAGAGACTTCACAACCAACCCACTCCTGTAATTTAAGGACCGGTCCCTACAACGGATCCATGCGTCACAGTTTCAAACCACATCTTCTCATCATCGGACATGATACCTAGTTTCTGTGTGTCACAGTATATCAGTTAGTTTTTGTGAATCATTATACTTTTGCCGTGTATGAAATTATTTTCAGTGGGTTTAAGTTTTCTGAGACATTCTGCATACACCACTTCACAGGTGTTTTTCTTTATGAAATTATTCAATGTTTTACTGAAATTGAGACTTTTTGTTTGAATATCAGATGATAAATTATATTATCTTCAGAATCTTGGAATGTTTTCTGCTAAAATGTGTTAGCAATCACTCACTGGTCTCACTTGGGATGTAGTACAAGAAATTAATTGGTGCATTGTTCAGATCTGGAATGTAATCAGTAGCCAGTCAGATGTTTAACACTTATTGACAGTTGGGTTATACTACATGCACTGGTATTTTCTGAAACAATAAATATATAGTCAGTCCTAAATAGATTTCTGACACTTCTGGCTTTTTTTTTAATATTATTATTAATGTTTGCATGGCATTTTATTTCAATAGGTCTGTTCAGATGTGCTTACAGGGAATTCTCGCTTATTCTGACAATAATAATCAAGGTAATTTACTTAATTGATTTGCAAATTTATGTCAAAATCAGGTTCAAGTTTTGTTACAAAAACACATTGGATTAAGTAAGATGGTGAAAAGTTTTACATTTGTTGATGTGATCAGCTGGAAAACAATGAAAGTTTACGTGGCTGAAAACCAATAATATGGGGATATCGAACTGGTGTGTTTTATCTGACAATAAACATACATGAGGATGTTCAAGAGGACGGACAATTTTTTGTTGGTAAACAAGATGGAATTGTATATCAATTAAAAATATTTTTTGTAATGCCAACTTCATATATTATCATAATGATACCTGTCACTGTACTAAACACTACTAACATAACAGTGTGCTGAACATCAAACTATTAATGTCTCTGTGCAGACAGTGCTAGTAAGATTGTCATTGTTAAGACAATGCTAGTAAGATTGTCATTGTTAAGACAATGCTAGTAAGATTGTCATTGTTAAGACAATGCTAGTAAGATTGTCATTGTTATGACAATGCTAGTTCAATGTCATTGTGAACAAGATTTCAAGGATGAGTTTGAATGCATTACCTCAAAACATAGTCATGTCAGACATTATTTATTTTCCCTAGTCGGGGATGTGTGGATAAACGACATTCAACTGTACATAAAGCGCACTTTTGTTTACTGCTGTTTATTTCAGGTACAAGACCAACATCGCTGCCTTTATAAACATTGTGAATGCCAGGCAAGGTCCATATTTGTGTATAGTGATAGTATTTTGGTGCTATGTTCAATTTCCCTCAAGAAAAGGTTGCTCCAAGAAGCAGGATGTAGATGAACCCAAAGCTTGCTTCTTGTTGCTTCTGTGGTAGTGTGCCAATATATACACCAATATGCGTAGCTTGTTTCCATAAGCTCGGAAGGGAATAATTGTAATAATAATAATAATGTTTGAACCTTGTTATTCTGGACAGTAAACTTAAACCTGACTGTTTGGATTAACACGTTTCAAGACTTAATCAAATATCCTGCACAAAATGGTGGATGGGGTGATGTGGATATCATTTACATGCTTTTAAAATGGTAGAGTTATAAGGAATTGCTGACTTTTCAGTGAATGAGTCTTAAGCTTCGCTCATGGGCCAGAAAATCTTTAATGAGAATGGTGTCATAAATATTGTTCTCAAGTTGTTGCCTGAGCAATTTGCTTGAACTCGCCATCACATATGAGAACTTAATTGCAAAATTGGAAAGTCATTGTGCTCAATCTGTCAACCTTAAAGGTGATTTTAAGATTTTCACGTTTCACAGTCTATTTATCATGTGAGTTGCTCCATGCACAATGCATGCTCAAAGTGCCCAAACAATCTGATTATTACCCCAGATAACAGAATCTGCCTGTTAAGCGCTGGAAGGTATTTATAAAGCCTCAGCATCAGCTGTTATCATTCATGAGATCATGTTGCTCGAATGACTAGATTTGTTACAAGCATTGTCAACATAATTGTCATCCGTAGTACATTTATGGGGATGGGGTGGCCTAATGACTAATGCCTGGTTCCCCTTATTGGTAACAAACCCCACCCCCTCTATGTACATTAAATAGTTTAAAGATACAGAACTGACTGTAAGCATGGTGTTTTTAGTCTATTTAATTAAGTTGGGGAGCTTATCAGATAAAACAGAAGCTTTTTATGTTTGTTGTTTCCCATTGATGTGGCTGTGTCTTGCAGACATGGATACAGAAGAGCAAAATTGCATGTTTGGAATGACATGCTTTTATAACTAATCAATATAGGCAATAGATTTTTTTACAAATAGGCACAGATTCTTGTCTGGCGGAGTCTCTGCAGAAAGTGTTGTTTTATTGCAAGTCATGTATTGTGCACCATTGGCATGCATGATGGTGTGTGGCTTTTATAAAAATAAATGCATGTGTTTACTGAGAGTGTCTGTTGTTTATTAGAAAAATATAGATCCAGATGTGGTAGCCAGTGAAGAAGATCCCGAGAGCCTGCATTTAATGTGAGTTGTTTGAGCTGTGGTCTCCCATGCCAGGAGTTGGGACTGATTTGGGTTGAGGCTCACGTCATGGACTCGAGTATCCAACCAGGGGAGATAACTCACACGTTCACTTCTCTAATGCCTGTTGCAAACATGTTAGGTTTTGCAGTCAATCTTGACTATCAAAGTGTTACCCAATACGTATCCGTGTTTGACAACTGAGTCGGTTTTGCAAGTGTTTAAGACGGGTCGGAGGGTAAAGAGACGCTCACCTTTTCGCGAATACCTGGTATCATCACTATTTGATAACATGGAATGCCTTTTAAGAATGCAACGACGGAAGCACCTGAGTAAATTAAGAAATTTAGTGAGAAGGACGCGAGATGATTTGGGAGGAGAAGCTGATTCCGTCTGTTAGAGACTTACTTCTATTAGAGATCGGTACTCGCATCACAAATATGGTACTCTCATCTCCAGTATATGACATTTCATACCAAAGGTTAGCGTTGCGGTCCTATCCAAGACCAGGTTCTATACTCACATAGGTTTACTCAGTCCCTCTTCATGACAAAACGACCTGTGAAGATCCGGGGTAGAATAGGTCTTCAGCAACCCATTCTTGTCATAAAAGGCGACTATACTTGTCGTATGAGGCAACTAACGGGATCGGGTGGTCAGGCTCGCTGACTTGGTTGACACATGTCATCGGTTCCCAATTGCGCAGATCGATGCTCATGCTGTTGATCACTGGATTGTCTGGTCCAGACTCGATTATTTACAGACCGCCGCCATATAGCTGGAATATTGCTGAGTGCGGCGTAAAACTAAACTCACTCACTCACTCACACTCATTACAAACCCGTGAAGGTCCGGGTTAGAATTGATCTTCAGTAACCCATGCTTGTAAGAGGCGACTAACGGGATCGGGTGGTGAGGCTTGCTGACTGGGTTGACACATGTCATCGTATCCCGTAGATCGATGTTGATGCTGTTGATCCCTGGATTGTCTGGTCCAGACTCGATTATTTACGGTCCGCCGCCATATAGCTGGAATATTGCTGAGTGCGGCGTTAAACTAAACCCAATCACTCACTCACTCACTCACTCACTCAATCTTCATTACAAGGTGACTCGGACTGGAAGGATATAGGGCGAGTTCTTTACCAAACGTGGAACTGCAACGATTGCGATACGAACGTTCTGCTGACTTTGAAACCACTTAGTGTTGACGGTGTCTTTTTTAAGGTGTTCGAGCCTGCTCCGCCCTGGTCACATGTCCTGATACAATATTTATGATTCGTTACATCATTCCATGGTTTCATGTCGTACCTCGTTATCAGAGAATTACTGTAAACTATCCATCGGTGATTCACCGTTAAATACTTTAAGAGTCTCCTGCATTCTGTTACTCCACAGTTATTATGTTCAATTATTTTATTATATCTCTTGACTAATTACCAAGCAGTGATAGCATCCATTCTATCACCAAATAACCGCAATTCTCAATAACGGGTTTGTTATCCTTGTCTTGTGTAGAAGATGAATTTTTAACCTTATAACGCTAGTCGTAAAATGGCCATAAGATAGGACTGCGTCGCTGATTCGACTTGTCCCGGAATAACACGTGCTGATCACGAATGTTTCAGAGAATGTACGTGACGTCATTTCCTCTGATTGCCTGTTCTTGTGACGTCATAATAGAATGTGCTGCAAACAGAATATGAAATGTCTGTGCCTTCATGTTGGCACTTCAAGTTCAGTAAGAGTGATCCCCACATGATTTGATATGTTCTCGTCTATCGGAACTGGTGTAGCTGAGATTGTCCTTGGTTACACCTATGGCGTCACGTCAGATACAGTCACAAAAAAATCTAATATCGCCTTATCAGCTCAAGGAGCTCTTGTCGTCTTCGTCCATGCTCTTCTATGTTTCCGACCACGTTGAAGCAGGGACGTTCCTGTTCGTTGTTCATCTCCCCTGACACTCACACCTGATGTAGCATCGAATTCATTCTGGAACCGTAAAGGAATATTTTGAGTCCTCCAAGCTGGGCTTTTGTTTATGGGTAAGTTCTCTTCTGGGATGACCAGGTTAGAATATTAATTATCCGTCCGTCCGAGATGATGGCGACAGATTTTCTCAGTTACCGTTACAGATAGGGAAACCTTTCCCAAATGTGGTATGTGTTTTCATGACATGAATCTTGTGGTGGAGTTTAAAAACAGGAACCAAATGGGATGAGATGTTGATGACCATGTCTTCCTGTTTTACCTAAACCCCAAACCTCCTCAAAATAACCCTGCCCCTAATAAATAAAATAAATTGAACGAAGCGGCACGAAAATGGCTGACGTGTCCAGTGTAGTGCATTGATAACTATACCTTTCTACATTGTCATGATTGTCAGGTTGCCCTATACATAACTGATTATGTTTAACCTCTTGGGTGTCGAGTTATAGTCGAGTGAATTTTTGTGCGTGGTGTTTTATTTAGTTACAAAGTGATGGTTGAAGAGAGTGAGTGAGTACGGCAGTACGCCGCTTTAAGCAATAATCCAGCAGTATCACGGCGGGGGACACCAGAAATTGGCTTCATCCTCTACCAATGAGTAGGTAATGGAACCCGGGTCGGCGTGACGAGAGAACACGTTAATCACTATGTTACCCTACCGCCCCTGCTGGTTGAAGAGATGGACATTTATAAGAAGGTCCAGGCAAAAGTCCCATTGGTTGATGTTGCCCTATTGTTTTTACAAACAGCTAGTATATTTAATCTGAAAACGTTCTTTTTTGTTATAGAGACTACTTTCCGTACGAGGATTGCTGATGCCACTAACAAATGCCACAAACTGAGTCCAGATACCTTCGTATAAAGCTGCCGGAATGTAACACACAACAGTTTAAAGTGGTGAAAGGTAAAGCATGGTAGACCGAATCCACGTGTTAATCAAACTTCATTTGGACCAGCTGGAGAATATGGGCATGGCCACCGAGTATTATACCACACACAAACAATGCTGTTCTCTGATTGGACAAAATGAATACCGGGCTGAACATCAGGACATACCTTCCACCGGGAACTTATCATGTCGGTTCTGTCTGAGGATAAATCACGGCCATAACGTATCAAGGATCCGTTTGTACATGGATCAGAATTATATGTTTTCGTTTTGTGTTTACGATTGCAACGAAGACAGCGCCAGTCTCAACATGAACAATAACAGTAATTATACTGATTCAAGTAGCTGTGGCGGGAAAGTACAATCTTCCCGATCCATGACATCCGTCCCAACCAGTACGTTCACTGGATACTTGATGAGTTCGCGGCTGCTTGGGTCGAGGTCACGAGACACCTCCAACGGCTACGGCATTGTGTACAGATCGCGCAACACACGAAGAGATACACGTCATTCATTATTCGATGTACGTGCTCCAGCGTTGTCCATCTTGTCTAGAGCAGAGGGTCTGACAGATATTTACGCCAAGACCAAGCAGCAGCAGTTACGTACCCTGGGTAAGGTGGGGTCGGCTGGAGGAACACCCGTCGACAAGGTTGGGCAGGAAACAGTGTTTTCAAAGAAACCCAGGACAACCCCTACCATTTTGACTGGTGGTTTAAGGGTTATAAATACCGGTACTCGGTCTGATCTAGAGATTTCTGGTGCTGCTGTACAGAACATCCACGACTTCCGGTCTGGTCTAGACATCACAGATAGTTTTGTACAGAACGTCCACGACCTCCGGTCTGGTCTAGACGTCATAGATAGGTCTGTACAGGCCATTCACAGCTTTGAGCCTGGTGCAGCCGTCACAGATTGTTCTGTACAGACCATCCACAGCGTTGAACCTGGGGCAGACGTCACACATAGGTATGTACAGACCATCCACCACAGCTTTGAGCCTGGGACACACGTCACAGATAGGTATGTACAGACCATCCACAGCGTTGAACCTGGGGCAGACGTCACACATAGGTATGTACAGACCATCCACAGCTTTGAGCCTGGGACACACGTCACAGATATGTACAGACCATCCACAGCGTTGAACCTGGGGCAGACGTCACAGATAGTTCTGTACAGGCCATCCACAGCATTGAACCTGGGGCAGACGTCACAGATAATTCTGTACAGACCATCCACAGCATTGAACCTGGGGCAGACGTCACAAATATTTCTGTACAGACTATAAATAGCTTCCTTTCTGGTGTGGACGTCTCAAATACCTGTAGTTCTGAACAGACCATCTACAGTTTTCAGTCTGATCTGCCACAACGATTTGATCATAACTCCAATAAACCTGTGCTCGACGTTTCACGGACACGGCAGACTAATGGAGATATATTGAAGATATCTTCGATTGCAACAGCAAGGCAAACGGCATTGGTAGATGCGGACTTGGCGAGTACTTCTTGGATACATCATAGCAGGTACGACTGGTTCCGTTCGTTGGTCACAAAGGAATCGTCCATTTGATATGTCCTTATTCCCTTATACACACAAAGTATCCTGTAGTCGGCCTCTAAAGAGTATGGTGTTATATGTTTCTCTTGTTAGAAATCCTTATCTGTTTTCAGAGGATTTTACTCTGCGTTGTAACTATAGGTATATGCTTAAACATGTATAACAGCTTGTAGAAGCGTCTCTGTACGACGCTGGGATAATCTAGTTATTATACTATGACAGTCCATTGTCAACAGGTTTCCACAACGGTGTCTTAGGGGGTTAGATCACTGACTTTGTCCGACCAATGCTTGACTCTGAGAGTGTGGGTGCGAATCCCGATTTTACTCAACCTACCAAAAGTACTAAAATCTGTACTTTACTGGAAAAGTGTAATCTCAGATATAACATATATTTACATAACAGGTTTTATACAAAATTATAGTTGTTATAATAACATTATCAGATCACCGCTATAAGGATGCATTATGGCCGATGCGGTGTAGCCTTTCACTCACTCACTGACTAATGTCGCTTTCTTGTCCCTATTTCCAGAAGAGCTCTTCACAACTCACTAAGACCCTGTGGCTGCAACACATCAGGCCAGGAAAGACACTGCTACAACAAAGAGAAGCCTTTCACATCGCAGTTTGTGTTCAAGAAGTTGTTTGGTCCAGATTTCCGTGTAGCTAAGCACTACTGGCATATCGAACCTCCTGTCCTTCCACCACCATGTGTAAAATACAAAGGCAAATGTGATGTATTTCTAAACCATATTATAGGTCGGGGAACGTTTGCAGAGATTGCCATAGCAACACTGCACGTAGACAGACAGTGGAGGTACGTTGTGCTCAAGGAACACTACACTGACATGGTTTCAAAGGACCATGTGTTCCGTGAGGCAAAGATGACTATGTACTTGGAACCTACTGGTTGTGTACCAGTATGTTATGGCCTAATTCAGGACGGAATTGGTAGTCATAGTGTTGTCCTGGAACTCGTCGGAACAGGCTCCACCTTGAGCGATGTTCTGGGAAAGGAAACCCTGTTGAAGCAACATTGGCTGAGCATTGCATGGCAGCTGGCAGAGGGCCTGAGTAAGATCCACGAGATGGACATTCTGATCAACGACGTCAAGCCGGACAACGTGTTGGTGGATCTGTCCAGCCCAGTCCCTGTCGTGAAGTACTGCGACTTTGGATGTGGGTCCTATAGGTATGGCATTGTATTCACGGATCCGGACATGGAACAGTTTGTCCACCTAGCTCCTGAAGTTCGTGCGGCTGGTCAGACATCAAAGGCTAACGACGTGTACGGTTTAGGGAGAATGTTGGGACAGATTGTTGATGTGTCTGGGATTTCGGCAATAGTAACACCGTGTCAGAGATGTATGGATGACAACCCTGATCTCCGGATCTCAGCTGGGGAGGCAAGTGCGTGGCTGAATGCTGTTCACAAAGAAGTGGAAGACACGTCAGATCCATACGTCTCCAGCGGCTACGGGTCGGCGTCATCTTCCTCCTACACCTCTCAGTCAGAGCACCCTACAGGTCGTAACTGTTCGAATCCAAGTGACACGCGGCATCAGATTAATGTGTCAAGTCTAAATATTCTTATCCTACTAATCCTCATGATAGTCATGGCATTGCATCCGTGGGTTATTGGTCCCTGCTGTTACTATAAGTGCTGCATATAGTTCCTTCCTAGGGGAACGGGGGCGGTGGGGTAGCCTAGTGGTTAAAGTGTTCTCTCGTCACGCCGAAGACCCGGGTTCGATTCCCCACATGGGTACAATGTGTGAAGCCCATTTCTGGTGTTCCCCGCTCTGATATTGCTTGAATAGTGCTAAAAGCGGCGTAAAACTATACTCACTCAATCCTAGTGAAACGAGCATGTGTCCTTTATCCGTGCCAGGATTCTTGCGGTGTCAGCATTACATATTTGCTCGTTTCACCAGTCTCATTTGAACACCTTATTAGTGAGTTGTTTTCCCCTATGTTGATCGAGACTCACAAACACTAGTTTGCCTTTCCAAGCACCGAACAGACTTTGATTGTCGCCGTGAACTGACATTAATATGCCGACGACGGAGACTGTCAACCATTCATGGAGTGACCCACTTCGATATGTATATATCCGCTTATAACCTGATATAATCACATTGTCTAGTATCACTACCAAAATATAAATCATTGGCACTTGCACATCAATCCACGTTTCATAAACAGTTATACAATGTCATATAAGAAGTATTTGTTAGAAGATATACTGTATTTATTTTTCTATATATTCTACATAATTGTTCAATATGTATTTTCCCTAGCTTTTGATACCCAATTACTGGAATTGAATATATGTGTGAAATAGTTAATAAATGTATGTGATTTTCTTTAATTACTGAGAGAAAAAACTGCCAGACAAAAGACCGATGTTTGATGGTGGCCAGAAATCTCAATATCACATGACAAAATCAGTCACATGTCCTGAATGCCCCAACGTATTAAATGTATGCTTGAGTTAATCGCAGTTTGTGGTTTTTAACATTCAAAACCAGGGGCCGGATTCACTAAACTTCTTAGAATTTTCTTAGATTTATGCTTAAGTTTCCTTAAGGAATTCTTAGCTGAGAATTTATCTTAAGTAGCAATCCACCAAGCCACTAAGCATAAATCTTAGCTGAGATATTTTAAAATTCTTAGAATTTTCTTAGTGAGAAACGCATGGGATTATGGGATACAAATTTATGCTAAGAATATTCTTAGATGACGTATTGGAAATCCCCGTATCTATTAATAGCATAGTTGAACTCTCCTCGCGTGGAGATAGAAAAAAACATACGCAGACGACAACAATCAGAATGGAGAAGAAAAGTGTCAGAAAACCCAACTGGACGGCCGAACAGACCTTGTATTTAACTCGCCTTGTTGAGGAAAACAAGGCTGTGTTACTCGGCAAGTTTGGACCGGGCGTGACATCTGCGCGAAAGAAGGAAATTTGGACACATATTACTATGCAGATCAATGCCACCTTCACAGGTAAGTGACGATCGTAAATTTTGAGTGCACTTTAAAATGTTATCACCTTGTATATGTAACTGTAAAGTATTTGCCTCCTACAATAATTAATGTATTTTTATTGATTTGTAAAAGAATTTAAACGTTGAAGTAAGTGCAAGTTTAAAAGCGAGATGGTTCATATGTGCTATTTTCGATCACCAATCTCAAAACGGAAGGATTTCCGCCCGTAACCCCCGTATTTATTTCCAATCATTATTTGCCTGAGGATATCCGCCTATGTTTTTTATAAACAGGCTATACCTAACCTAAAACCCTAAAATCCAACCCCAAACATTACCCTAAACCCTTGAAATAATCCTAATAAATAGAATACATTTCAAGCGGGGGTTACGGGCGGAACTCTTACCATCAAAACTTTGACGAGTGATATTGGATTTATGCATTCAAACATCATATTGTTTGTGCATATCAACTGATTATAATCATTTGAAGTAACAAATACTGAAATCAAATGTTACACATCTTCTGTTGTAACAGCTTACAAGTATACTACAACCGACATGCTTAGTATGTTCATTGAAATAGTAATGTATTTGGGCCAGTTTTTTTGTATCTAGTCAAATGTCAATGAAAATGATAACAGTGAATTAGGGTTGGTTTGACATGTTGATAATTCTGTAAATTTATCTCAGAAATATAGGTTGATATTCAGGTATTTATCAAGGCAGGTAAGATATTTCTATCGCAGGTTTTCATGTGAAGGAATCACACATGAAACATTCTATTTCACCCAAGTGCGAAGTAAGCACACATGTATCATTTTATTTTACCCAAGTGTGAAAGACTCACACATTTTCATTTTATTTTACCCAGTGTGAAAGACTCACACATTTTCATTTTATTTTACCCAGTGTGAAAGACTCACACATTATCATTTTATTTTACCCAGTGTGAAAGACTCACACATTATCATTTTATTGTACTGCAGTACTTTTCATGAAGAAATGACCCATTTGTTTTGTTGTGTTTGCAGAATATTTCTCATGTGTACCATTATTTTATTTAATCAAACACTGACCCTATGATTTATTGTTCATTATTTTGACTCCCTTAAAGCTTTTGAATGGCAGTCCATTATGTGGAGTTGGTTCAATTCCAACCAGAGGCATACACAGAGTCAACATTTATCTGTTTTCATGTTAATATTAACAATAGTATGTTGAAAATAGCACTAATATTGTGAAATGTGACTAATATTAGTGGGCCAAGTGGGCCCTTATCATACCTTCAGACTGAACCTTTGTTAATATCATAATTGGGTTGTCAGTACCATTACATAATAAATTTTAAAATGTGAATTTAATGTAAATGAAAATATTTGATTTCATATTTGTGTCCTCAATTGTTTCATGAAATGTTTTTTTCATTTTTTCCCAGGATGTGTCAGGACAAATGACGAGGTGGAGAAAAAGTGGCATAATACCCAGTCGAAGTCCAAGTCTGAAATTGCAGCATATAAGAAAGGGGCTGTATCTACAGGTAAGAGCTCAAATATAGATTTATGGTCCATACTTATTGATTTTGGACAGTCTGTGTGTGATGAAAAGTGATTACTTTGAAGGAGTATAAATTGAGTAATAAATGGTCATGGGTGTAACGGGTTGTGATGGGTAAGAATGACGTTCAAACACAGGCTATGGGTGTGAGGTTTTATTTGCAGTTAGAGAGGTAACGACACCCTGCAATACACAAAACAATAACATAAGGCAATATCATAAAAACATGATGCATCTTTCACATACGAGTACCTTACAATTACACATTCACATTCGCATATAATATATTTGTTAATGAGGCATAAAATCATTGTCTTGATTACATAAAGAATTCATCAAGGGCGATAACTATATTTATGGGTACTATACATGAGGTATACAAATGTACAATGAACATGGATCATTGTTATAAAGTACATTACATGTTCTCAATACAATAATTAATTATCACTTTGTGGCACCAATGATACAGATGGCAATCAGTGATACATATGTATCATAATATGTTATTTACAATATATACTATTCACAACAAACTATTCAGAACTGGTGTCTGCCACAATGGTAATAATAATAATGAGAGAATGATGTATGAGTATAGATTATATAGGCAATGTCAGATCATATTATTACTTACTAGTATGTGACATTATTTAGAGCTTACCAAAAGAAGTGCAAGTGATAAATGACATTGGTCAGTGTGCAAATTAGGCTGTTTACAGGGTCTTGAATTGAACAAAATATATTCACCCCAAAAATCCCCTGACAAAATAAGTTGAATAGACCGTCATGAAAAATATGAATTTAAACTACGTCTGATTATGTTTCAAGCCATGGGTAATTATGAAATTATCTATACATTGCAGGTGGTGGGCCGTCACCTTGTCCACTTTTAACTGAAACAGCAGAAGTCGTGTGGGACATACTTGGGAAGGACAATGTGTCCATATCAGGAATACCAGATTCAATGGACTCAACTCTACTGCAGATAAATGAGTCTACTCAGTCAAGGTTTGTCAAAACATTCAGCTTTACTGTATGTCATTAGATAATTCCTTCAATAAAATTGGTTGCATTACATTCCAAATATTGATAACAAATTTTATTTCCAAAATAAACTATTGATGAAATCCAAAATGTAAAAATCACATATCAAGAAGATTATAAAGCTCTCTTTCCAACATTTATCCCTTTACTGCCTTTAATGTTTGATATTTATAATTGAATACATGATAACAAGTAAAACTGATTATAGTTTATTTACATTTCAGTGATGCCATGTCATTTTTAGACATCCAGGCTCTGACAGCAGTGGGAGGGTGCCTGGAAATGGTCACCAGTGTGGCAGATGTGGCAGATGTGGCGGTTACTCCAAGCAATCCGAGTGATGCAGCAGTTCCCACTGTCAAGGCCGTACACACAGTCCCTGCAGCAGCAAGTGGTGGAAGATGTGCTCCACCAGCAAGGAGATCAATCTTGAACCATGCCTTGAATGTGATGAACTGTATCATAAGAAGATGAAATTAGAAATTGAGGTTCTTGAACTAAAAAAGAAAATGATGGAACACAAACTAAAGAAATTTATGGAAGAGTAGAAGACTACTCATGCTTCTCAAAATGTACATATTTCTTAATAGCTGGCCAAAATACTTGTAACAATATGGTTCTTGCAAATATTTTCTTAAAGTCAACAAATCTACTTCATTAAACATGGTTCAAGCCTAATGTAGGTATCCACATGATGCTTAAGGCACTCGATGAGTGTGGGAGAAGTACATGCGCTAGTAAGGTTAAACATATACGGTACTGTTTCAATTTGGTTTGGGATTGGGTTATGCTTGGCTTAGTCACAATGTTGCAGATTCAAAGGCTTTCATATCTATGTTCAAACAGAGGTTATGTGATAATTTACAGGAGTCATGGTACTCCTCTGTGGAATCTTCACCTAAATGTTATCTCTACAAAGCCCACAAATATTTTTTTGAATGTTGAAAAGTACTTATGTTGTGATTTACCTTTACATGTAAGGAATGCTATTCCAGATTTAGATGCTCAAATTTTAAAATTGCCATAGAAACAGGAAGATACGCTAATGCTGATAGACATCTAAGGCTGTGTAGCCACTGTAAAAAAAGAATAATGTCAATATTATTGAGGACATATATCATATTTTGCTGGAATGTGCACTATATGTTGATATTAGAAACAAATACCTTATTGACATATATAATGATATGTCTGTTGTTAATATTTTAAAAGATTCAAACACAATTACTGTATATAATGTTGGAAATTCCCTCTATCATGCAGAGCAGAGGATCAACTTAAAATATGCTCAGTAACTGAAATCTAATGATGTTTGTATTTTGGGCCTGACTCCCCTTTACCCTTTCTTGGTGAATGTGGCAGATTCCCTCTTCAACTTACTTATATGTCAAGGTCAGGTTAATATTTGTGTAGACTTTTAACTCTTCCAAGTTGTAGATTACCTCATCAATTTTATTTAATGTTAAAGTCTTTGGATGAATGTGGACATATAGCAACCACAGAATGAAAACATCTATTACATTCTTTGTGAGTTTTAAATGATGTTTATATTAAAGTTAAATTAATTTGGTACTAAATCTTTTACTGTCATGTTGATGAAAATATCCAATAATTTGCCTTACCCTAGAAGTGAGTGTTGGCAAAGTGATCCCTGTAAATCAGGTTATGTCCAGACAACTGTGGCACAATCTGTGGTTGGTCGCCGTCATCTGGGTCAATCGATTCACCATCAGGCAAGGGGATGTTTCGCAACTTGCATATGTTGTGCAAAACTGCACAACATGTGATCACCTGTTGTGAAAAATAATTATATGTAAATAAAAGTTCTTTTCATTTCAAATTGTTATCTTGTTATTATTTTGTGAATAGTGTTGTGTGGGGCCACATACCGGTAAGATATCTTGTTTCTCATTTCTGTATATTACTTCTAATATATTTGTACATGTTTCGCTGGAAGACCATCATTCTGAACATGCTTTATCTGTTGTCATTTCTACGAGTTAATTTCTGCTGATGAACAATATATTAAAACAACACCGACATCCAAATGGACCATATTTTTAGGAAACAGTTCTTAGATATAACAAGAATCTTTATTTGGCGTCAGATGTTTTTGTTTGAATAATTTCAATCCATTTTAATGGATGATTTTAAGAAGATATAAATGGAGTGTTTAAAAACATATATATTAACACTTAACATACATACACATGCATGGAAGCACACACACATACAAGACATGCTTCAAATACATTTTAAGAATCATAAACATACATCAAATATAAATGTTATATAAGATTATTTTCTACTTGTGAACATGTTTATGAATTTACTTTTTTAGCATATTATTCTCATCTTATATTGCATTAAACCTGTTAGTATTGCATATATAATTAACAGTTAAGTAATAAAGCACAGTTTAATTACAAATAACATTGGTTTTACACAGATGAATAACTCTTCCACATTTATTATTTTATACTGGCATTTACCTTGCATGTTTTTTCTGGGGTTAATCTAACTTCTCCATGCAACACATGAAAACGCCGCTTGAGTTGCCCTATTCCCCTCTCCACTATGCTGCGAGTCCTCTTATGAGCTCTGTCAAAAAATCAAACGTTAAGAAGATTATTTTAAAATCTGCAATAACATATTTTGCAATTTTTGACTGGCATGTAAATAAATAACATGATATAGATGTAGATAAATAATCTATTCAGCCCTAAAGCATGCTTTTATGTGTACTGTCATTTCGTTACGTATTTGTCAGAAAGTTCTTGATGTATTCTAGGATTGTAGATTGTTCCAGGAAAGAAAAACATCAATTTTTTTAATTCAACCCAGTTACACTTTTATAGTCATATTTGACAGGGGGCATAACTCTAATTGACTAACCAAAAGTCATGTCGTTTGCAAGATTCGATTTACCTGTTGTATGATGTCTGAGAGCCGGGATTTGGCTGAAGATAAGGAGTGAGGGAGCCAGTCTCTACATGGATATCCACTGTCTCCAAGCAAGTGGCAGCGGGCAGGCATCAGGTGGCGAGAGAACAAAACACAAACGCCGCTCTCGGTCAGTATGCGCGAGTCATGAGTGGACCCCGGCCATTTCGCAACAATATCAATGATATGTGAACTGTGGTCAAAGACAACTTGAGTATTGATGCTGTGGTACTGCTTTCTGTTCACATAAGCAGGTTCGTGCTGGGATGGTGCCATAATCTGAATGTGGGTGCCATCTATAACCCCAACCACTCCGGGAAAATTAGCGATGCCATAGAAACCAAGTTGGTTTCGTCGGATTTCAGTCGGACTGGTGGGAAACGAAACGAACTGTCGAACAATGGCAGGGGCAGACAGTGCAGTTATTGTTTGGTTAATGGCCCTACTCACTGAAGACTGTGAAACACCAATGTGGTCTGCATTACACAGCTGCATTTTGCCCGTGGCAAAGTAACGCAGCGTCAGTAGAACTTTGTCAGTAGCTGATAAAGGATGACTTCTTTGAGTGAGAGGTGAAATTTCATTGGAAATGAGACTTACTACAAATTGTATACCATCTTTTGATAATCTAAATCTTCGTGTCAACTCTGTTTCTGTGTATTTTTCTAAAATGTTGGTTCTATCGATGATTGCATGGGCGGCCATCTTTGTTTACTTTAAGAAAATTCTTAGTGCTTAAGTAACCTATGGATGATTCTTAAGTTAAGAAAAAATCTTAAGCACTAAGAAGTTTGATGAATATTGCTTAAGCAAAAATCTTAGTTTTATATAGGTTGCTATGGAAACTAAGAATTCTTTCAGACTTAAGAATTCTTAAGGCTTAAGAAAATTCTAAGAAGTTTAGTGAATCCGCCCCTGGTTTCTGGTTTTGAAGCCGATATCTTCTATAAAAATAAGCCCTCTTAAGTGATAAGTTGTATCAATAGAAATTTGTCGAATTGTCCCATTTACTGATAACAGTGTTAATAATAGTCGGTCTAAATCAGCTGATAACCCTCAGCATTCTCTTACTTCTGGTTTGGAAGCTGATATCTGGGTTACTTTCACTGATGTGACAACGAAGTGTCCATGCTTCATTCAAGATGAAGGAAAACAAAGTTCTATGGATAGTCAACTTCTTTATTGCAATGAGTGCGACGGTTGGTTTTTCTTCATCTATACAACTTCTAAATGCCTCTCAAAGAAGATGTTCAAGATGTCAGTCACTGGATTATCTGGTTCAGGCTTGATATAAGACCGTTGCTATCTAGTTGGAATATTGATGTACGAGAAGTTAACCAACAAACAAGTCTTTATATTAGCCAAACAAAATGTGTATACGTAAAAACACTTACTGAAAATGCACGTATAAAACGTCTTTCGTAAGAATTTGTCCAGTTTAAATAACACAGCATTCATAATTCCAAAACTGGTGTCAGTTGAAAAATTCCTCGGAGTCTCTGTACAGAATATAGTCTTTTAACATTTGTGGAACACACAGAGATGATACCGCATATCGAAGGTTGCTCTTGGACACTGACCTCCGCACGCGCACCCTGGCACAGTCACGCAGTGACGGCACTCTCCGCGCGTGGGTCTCATACCAAACAACAAATGACCTCAAATCATCTGATTCTTTTAACTTGCTCAGCAGATTTTCACTTGGCCGGTGTCCCATCAGTACCAAAACCTTCATGAGAAATAGGTGCCATTCGTCCCAAATTAATATCGGGCGCTCAAATATTCGGGCAAGACAGCGATGCAATCCTACATTAGAATTGCAAGCCCGTAATGTCTCAAGAGCCATTAAGGACTTTCTTTTGTTTTTAGATTCAAAGTTCATATCAAAGGCATTGAGAAACAAAGTAGTGTTGTTTGGCACTCTTCTTGAAATATGTCTGGTTGAACGACGTCCTTGACGATGACAGGGGGAGACAACTTGCCATACCAAGAAATCAGGTAGCAAGTCTATGAATACCGTGTCTGTGTTTATGCCCACTGTCTTAACGTACGGGTTTGAGTCCAAGGCAAGTTTTGGCCACAATTCAAATACTTCTATGTCCTTGGACAGCAAAAGAGTGTAACACTCACTTGCATCATATTCAAGAAGACTGGTCACAATATCCCTATTGATGCCATGAATGTCAGTATCTGAGATCAGGATTAAAAGGTCGGCTAAAGTTTGAGGTGTTTTGCTATGGAGACACCTGAATCCGCTTCGGAGGAGGAGTCGTCTCGTGGCGAAGTTATCATTGTCCAGTAGCACAGTTCTAAGTTCTTGGTAACAAGTAGTCGAGTGCTGTTTAGCTGCGCATATGAATCTCCTGAAAGCCTCAAGAACATCGTCAGAGAGTTTGGGGTTCTCGAAGCCAAGGACGAATCCTTTGGGGTTATGACTGAAACTACAAGGAAGAGTGAGTGAGTGGGTGGGTGGCAATTTGGGTGAGTAAGTTGAGTTTAATGCGGCACGCAGCAATATTCCAGCTATATGGCGGCGGTCTGAAAATAATCGAGTCTGGACCAGACAACCCGGTGATCAACAGCATGTACATCGATCTACGATAACATGTGTCAACCAAGTCAGCGAGCCTGACCCTCCGATCCCGTTAGTCGCCTCTTACGGCAAGCTGAAGATCAATTCTAACCCGGATCTTCACGGGTGGAGTGAGTGAGTGAGTGAAATATACACCCCTTAAAGCAATATTACCGCAGTGTCTCTGGAACACATAAAATGGCCCTCACATATTGTACCTATGTCAGAATCGAACCCGGATTGACCACTAGGCTACCACAGTGACCGCTAAGATATCATGACCACTTTACGAAATGTACACCATTATACAAAATTATATAACATGCCAATAATTCACTGCCCGTTTTGAAAATAAAATCTGAAACCAGCATTTAAATATTTGTGAAAAGCTTTCTGTTAATAAACAGGCAGGGTTATGGGTTTTTCAATTTATTATATTTTTAATATGTTTCTCATACCAATCAGAGATAAGCACAGCATCGACAAAACACATCCCAAACTCAAGACTCAATCAGCGAATTGACAAACTATACAGAATAAACAAATGAATGAATAAATACTTCATCAATGGCAAATATCGTGTCAGCATTTCAATTATCCACACAGTGCATCTAATAGCCTAACGTCTAGTCTCTGAAATGAACATATTTTACAACAAAAAAGAAATATGTGTATAAAAAATTATCATAAAATATAATGACAAGGAGCCCAGACACTTTCTTCATTACCTGAAACTGTGGTACCCTAGACTGGCCACATATTCTAGACCAGCCTGGTTCCCTGGGTCTGTTGCGCCAGGGAACCACGCTGATTCTGGACTTGCATGGGCTTTCCTGTATATATTTGTTTCAGGGTCTATGACAGACTATGTATCTGAGTACTCCTTCGGATAATGAAGTAATATTTACCTTGGTAAATGCATCCTCCGAGATGGCTCCTTACTATCATATAACTACAGAGACAATATAGCTACTATGATGTAACTATATGTAGTATGTTTTGGCTCTACAGTTTTATAGACACAGCATATGTCTTCTTCCATCTCATCTGTACCAACTTGTTGTAGAGTGGTGTTGGCATGCATTAATAACCACAAATTATCAGCTTTGGCAGATCAAACATACACTGTCCGCATGCACAGTCATTGAATTAGTAGCTCACGTACTTCATACCAGTCAGTATCTATAGATAGACCTCGCGAATCATTCATGTGACGGTGACAATCGAGGAAGGGATTAATATAGAACGCCACTCAATGTGATGAGATCAAATTGATGCACTGATTTTTTAGTGTAAGCGTAGTAGTGGTGTAATTATGTTGACAGTGATTCTGTTACTAGTCTTACCTGTGCACATTGGTAGGTCGACGCGACATAGTTCATCCTAATGTAACGCTTTCGTATTGACGTCCTGATATAACCTGAATAGCATTGCCAAGAAGGAAAGGGTCAAGGGGAGGTAACTCTTGAGGGTATTGTGGAAATGTCACTCGAACGACAAGATTATTTCATGTCGATGTAATTTTTGCCAAGAGTAATACATAAAGATATAAATAATAAATCTAGTTCATAGCAAATCGAGGTTATTGGACTAACACAATCTGTCAAAAACAATCACATATCCTTCTACTGCGCTCATTTTATTCGAAATTCTCTGTACAAAGGTAATACACGGCAAAAGCATAATCTAGGCCATATCTTATATATATAGGTCATACTTATAAATATATCAGAGTCGGGCGCCTATGATCTAGGCGTCCCGCAAAACTGAGTTTAATCAAAGTCCTTCACTTATAAAGGGAACATCGCGCTTTATTGGAACTAAGATCATTCGGAACACCTACCTCATGGGTTTTATTTTTAAATTGTAATTCAACTTAGGCGTTGGGTATAATCCATATATAAACGTTGAGAGAAAATGAATGAAACGTTGAATGTATTTAATTAACTTTATTGTACTCTAGGCCATGAGGCCCTTATACTGAATAAATTCTGTTCTGTTCTGATCATATATAAACGATTAACATTAGGCGACATTGAGCAGTAAAAGTTATTCTTCCATGATTTAGTCCTGACTTCATACATTATGTTATTTACATAAACAAAATAAAACTATTGTGTAATTCAATTGCTGAAGCATTTAATGTGAAGCATTTTAGCAGGAGTTTAGGCTGCTAAGAGGATAAATGCATCGCTTAAAAGCTCAGTTCTTAGACCGAACTTTCTCTATCGAATCTCATCGACAGATAAACTGAAGAATTTTTATTGCTGCAAATATCTACATAAATGCCGTTCTTTTGATAAAAGAAATAGGAAACGCAATAAAAAAAATAATTGTGTGTAGAGCTACAGCTTGATACTATCATCATGAAAATAACGTTCTTTATTTCATTTAACACACAATGTCTTCCGTTCAATATCTCAACAAACGTAAATTTACGACGTTCGGATCTGCAAGAAGTATTTTTCGACATTTCGCAGCATTTCGATTTCAATTTTCGGTTTTCTTTCCGGTTCGCTTTTTCATATTGCCAACTCGTTTATCCGTAATATGGTAAGTCGAAGTGCGAATGTTATTGAGAATGTGTGTTTCGTGGATGACATAAGATCACACTGAATGTTTAGGTCGCTGACGTTAGATAATTCTACAGGTGTCATTCTTCACAGAACACTACGAGTTGCTGCAGCTGAACATCATTATTCGCTGAAAGATGACATTCGGGTTGTTCTAGGCTGCGCTTAACGAATAGCGCTGCTCAGAGTGTTGCTGCAAGCTCCTAACAGCGTCTCTCGTTTTTCCATTCATTATTGTGATGTCCTGAAATATGCTTGCTCATCCAGGGACGTAGCTACCATTATGAAACAAAGCCAGGGCTTACACATGACTGTTGCTAAAAAGGTTGGACAAGCCCTCGATACTGTCTAAAGATAAAGCTTTGCAACCTATCTGGCTTACACGAAAAAATGGGCTTGCTACGCACCTGTCATCAACGTACCGTCAGTTATTTACGAAATACATATTAATGTTTATATAATTTAGCAGTAATAATTAATAATGTAACTGTGGATATTTTCTAGATGACAATCTGTGCAGCCTCGGTAGTGAATATTTCTTAAATACCTGCCCCACAAAAATCTAAAATGAACTTTATACATAAGTATATATATATATATATATATATTCTTTGTCGCATGTTATTGGTATTTTTGCATTTAAAATATCAGTGATCAAAATATCAACTGTCGTGAACTATGCCTTTCGAATTAAAGCCCCTCGTTAAATAGGCTAGCTTGTGCCTTCTGTTAGCATAACATAATGAAATAACATAGGCGAATCCAGACACACCACCCCCTTCGTCATTAAGAGGTATTAAATGACCATTGAAACTCTCGTGAAAACGGGTGAAAATGAAGTGTGCACACCCCCTTTCTCAAATGTAAGCACCACCCCACCCCCTTTCTCAAAAAGCTGTATCCGCCCCAGAAATAACCATAATTAAAGTAGTAATGTTTTTAGTGTTTCAGATTGTGTCAAAGATGTCATAACGCAGACACAGAAAGACACCAGCCCATTTCTCACCATGAGCAAATTCTCAGGAAGGTACCACGGTGACACGTCCTCTGATCACGTGATAGAACCGAGTGACTCAAGAAAAGAAGCTATGGTCATTACGAGACGATACTGCTCCTGTGAAAGTCAAGAAGATTTGATTAGAATAAAGGACCTAGTTTCTAAACTTAACAACAAGAATGAAATAAGTCTGTATCTGAGGTGGCTGTTGTCACGAGAAGATCGCACTGGTGCTGTCAACATCTGTAAAGTTCTGCTTGGATTAGGACGCCCAATAGAACATCTCGTCAGAGACGAGATCTTGTCAGAGCTGATCGTCCACGTGGCTGTCGACCTTCTGCAGATACTTCTCAAAGCCGATCTAGATTTCACAAACTTTTTGCCTTGTCAATATTTTATTTCGACATTAAAAGAAGATCCTACTGTGTGCCTTTGGGACAGTTTGGTATTTCGGTCCCTGCTTTGTGGAAAGTCTGGCTACAGGTACGAAAGTCGACCTGATCCAAGTGAACGATTTGCTTACGTTGTGATAGTAGCGATGATCCAGGCGAGTTGTTTTAGAACTGAATCAATATCAGCGTTAGCGTATGTGATTGACAAGTACCCAATCAACCCGGGAGATTCCTATACGTATGGGAAGGTGTTCCGTGCGCTTGTAGTCGCGGGGTTGGACCCAAGTGAGGGTTTTGTGTCAGAAATGGAAGGGAGAGAGTCGCAGTCGGTGCCGGCGTATTACGAAGAGTACCGGCAGTGGTACAGGGACTACAGGCGGTGTGTTCCCTCTCTGAAACATTGTGCACGACTGGTCGTGAGGCGTACTGTCCAGGTGAACATGGAACTGGCCACTTTGAGAATGGAGCTGCCAAAGCGCGTTGCAGACTTTCTGTTGCTAAGAGATCCACTTACACTGTCTGTTATTAATATTGATGATAAAGATTGATTCATATTTCTTCTTCTTTTGTTTTGCGTGGTTCTTGTCACAGGGAACCAGTGGGTCGTCCATCACGACCGTGGATCGGCTTGAGGAAACCCTCTTGGACCTGCATCATATATTATCCATACGCATCTTATAATATAATTACGCATCTCGCATGCTATATTATCATTACGCCGCATATTGTCATGTAACGCATCATATATTATCATTACACATCATATTATCATTACGCCTCATCATTGTCCAACGCATCGTATGTTATGATTACACATAATATATTATCATTACGCATCATATCATTACACAATTATTATATTCTTAAGGGTGAATACTGTAAATATTGGTGAAAATAAAAACGGTATTTTCACTGAATAGAGGCTGCGCCACTCGTGAGCATATCAACTCTGTCAGACCACTCGATGAAATATACATGTTATTTGACAACATTAACAAAATATCCTCTATATATTATCATTACACGTCACATTGTTACTGGGGCGATGGGGTAGACTAGTGGTTAAGGCGTTCGCTCGTCATGCTGAAGACCCGGGTTCGATTCCCCCATATGGGTACAATGTGTGGAGCCCATTTCTGATGTCCCCCCGCCGTGATATTGCTGGAATATTGCTACAAGCGGCGTAAAACACAACTCACTCATATTGTCATTATGCATCATATCTTACACATATATTTTTATTATACATTATATTATCATTACACGTATATTATTACGCATCATTACATATGTATTATCATTGCGCATCATATAATAAAGCATCATATTATCATTACACATATACATGTATTATCATTACGCATATATTATCATAACGCATATATTGTCATTGCGCATCATATTGTCATTACGCATCATATATTATCATTACGCATCATATTGTGTCATTTTGCCTCAGCAGAATTATATTGGGTAGATAACTCATTTACTCATGGTAAATTGTAGTAAGAAATGTCTGAAATAATGAATTGACTGGAATTATTTGTAAATGATGCATGAATACATTAAAAATCGGAAATAGGCCATTGTGGGCCCCGCTCCACAAATGTATCTTTGTGCTCGGATTGTCACAAGTCAGCGTTGACGTAAGGATGTTACGGTCGTCTTATCGCTAATATCGCTTTGTCGAAAGCCTATTGTCAGGGTCAGCAATGTTAAGTAGGCGCATTAACCAAAGGTGAAAGTAAACTGATAATTATCTGAACAGTGAGGCGGAAAGATGTATATGTGTGGGTATTACAACGGCTCCTCCTTTACTCCAACCTGACTCAGACAGGCAGTGCCATCTACATTTGACCGTTATTAATATCCTAAAACTGTAGTTATGGTGTCTGTGAATACGGCAGTGTCCTGCTCAGCGGTAATATACAACCTGTTGCCTATTATTCATTTTTAGTAAAGTTTACTTGACACTGAGGCCTTCAAAAGTTTGATTAAATAACTTAAGTTTTGAGTCATATACCCCTCCCACCCAAAACAATTATTTCTGACTTTTGATATGTGTTCTGTAGGGCCAGTCCTACGTCGCTATGGTTATAACCGGCGACAGAGCTCATAGGCGGATCCAGGAATTTTCAAAGGATGTGGGGTGGGGTTCAAGGGTTCGAAAACATTAACTTCAATGTGTGTGTGTGTGTGTGTGTGTGTGTGTGTGTGTGTGTGTTGTTGTTGTTGTTTGTCCCGAACCCCTGATCACACCTCACCCCACTCACCCCCTGGATCCGCCAATGGAGCTTTCGTGTGTCTGATCGTTGGCTGTTGTTTCAGTCAAAATGTTTTTGGGTGTTTTTTTACAACGATAAAAATGCTGAATATTTCAGTGTAAAGTATTACGATTTTCTGTTATTGACAACTGACTGTCATTCTGAAACGTAAGAGCTAGAGTGAGTTTTTGCCACATGGTCAGGCTCTCTGCTTTAGTTGATGCATGTCATGGTATCCCAATCGTGTAGATGTATGCTCAAGTGTCAATCACTCGTTTGTCTCTTGAAGACTTCTTTATATACAGGTCGTTGCTATACAGTTTGAACAACATTTATACAGCTTTTAATCAGCTGTTTAAAATCATGGCGAACATTATTTCCTTCATCCGTATTCGTGATGGGTGTTGCATTTTGTACTAACTGGAAGTAATTGTTGAAATAAATGACGACGGGTGACAGGTGTATACCCAGGATATGCAATCATATAATTATATATATCATATATATAGTACAACAAAATATACTATAATTAACTGAAAATGGGTCAACATCAACATCAAAATAATCTGCACTATGCAACATAGATTTTGCGTTCGGACCCAATGACTTCTCCCATGGAAGGGGGAGACAACTCTATTTGAAGATGGCGGGAAATTGAAGTGCAGTGTTTCGAGAATATTACTGTTACTAAAATGCGAGGGTTTGTGATTCTTAAACGGTTTCTGCATTTATATGCAGGATGCAAGAGGAAGGTAAATGTTGTTATGTGAACGTCTGGCGCATTGTCACTCATGGATGCTTTTAATAACCATAGAAAGCAACACATACACAAGCTTCCCTTAAATGCGGCCACACCCACTATTTATGGAAAACAAATGCGAAAACCAAACAAAAGACGGGAGCCACGATGAGGTCCAACGGTCGCCACCGAACATCATGTTTTGACAGTCAGGCACCATTGACTACACATCGAAATCGATATTCATAAAAAATGAAACAATAAAATGAAACTTTAGAAAGTATGTTTAAAATTTCTTATTAATTGTTATAGGCAGAGACCATATAAAATACTGTATTTCACAAACCTTTGCTTATTCAGTTAACGTGATTTGACTAGAAGCCTAGCCTGTCATACAGACCCTGAAGCAAATATATCCAAGACAGCCTACGCAAGGCTAGAAAATGTTTTATTTTGTTAACTATGAGCCTTTTTCTGTAAAATATGTTCATTTCAGAGACTAGTTGTTAGTCTACTAGAAGCCATAAATAGTTTTAAAATGACATTGTGCTTACAGACATTAAATTATCAGGGTTGGGGTTAGGGTAAAGTAGGGATACGGGCGGACGTCTTTCCCGAAAATATATCCTGACCTGACTAAAATGATTACCTCTGTAATTCTAATCAAGTTCTGGCAGTGGGGTAGAATAGTGGTTAAAGCGGTTGCTCGTCACGCTGAAGACCCAGGTTTGATCCCCCACATGGATACAATGTGTGAAGCCAATTTCTGATGTCCACCGCTGTGATATTGCAGGAATATTGCTAAAAGTGGTGTAAAACCATACTCACTGACTAAGTTTTCTGTCAGTCTTTCAACCTACATATATTGACTAACGATATATTTTTATGATGTTTTTTGTACGGTTTCAGATGTTATTGTGATAAACACTGATATGTGTCTGTTCTGCAGGTAATCATTAAAGCTGGCGATGACATCACTGATTTCTCTGTGGGTAGGCGGCATGCATCATCTGTGTGGCGGGTACTGATACTGTGTCGAGCTCACGACGTCTATCTTATAGATGTACCCGACACTGAATCACCCTCTGAGGTCATAAGGTCAGTACCACAAGTGAGCATGATGTAAAGTGGCAGACACAGGGAAGGATGCCACACCCCTTTGAAATAACACGTAACTCCTACATCACCCCCAAAATATCTATGTATTTTTGACATGCTTGTTACAGTTCATTAATATGCATGTAAGACATCATTGTCTGTCTTTGGGATGAATGCCACATATTTACAATTTTGAGCAATTCCTGTTTAATAACTTTTAATAACAATTTTCATCTAACCTGAGAGAGAAAAACGCTCCATTCACTTTACAATAAAAATGTCTGGTACATAGGGGAAATAAGTCCTCCCAGCTGAATGCATGTACCCATAGTAAATCAGCATAGACGATTGCTCACAACCTCCACTATGCAATGGTGTGTCTTGGTAGTTAAGGGGCAGTGGGGTAGCCTAGTGATTAAAGCGTTCGTCGTCATGCGAAGACCTAGTTTTGATCACCACATGGGTACAATGTGGGAAGCCCATTTCTGGTGTCCCCTGCTGTGATAATGTTGAAATATTGCTAAAAGCAGCTTAAAACTAAACTCACTCATTCACTTGGTAGTTGAAGTGTTTGTTCATCATGATGAGGACGTGGGTTGCAGAGAGTGGCATAAAACCATATCCACAATCCCCACCTGCAGTGGAAGGTTCTCGAATCACAACAGGGTGTCATGACTGACAGTGACACTGACATTGATCAATGCCATAGCTTCCTCTCAGTCACTCACCGTGAATAATTTTACCATTTCAGTGATGAGAAGTCCAAGGAAGGAAATCAGAGCATATTTTCAGACCTCCTTGACAAGGAAGAAGATGGAGAAATTACAGTTGTCCCTATCTCTGAGAGTGTGATCCACCTGAACTCCAAACACATGTTTCTACAAAGTGACTGTCCCATCAAATATATTGACGTTGTGCGGAGCCTTCTTTTAACCTTATCTTCAGGACTGGTAAGAAAAATCAGAGCTTATGAGCTGGATAGCTTTCAGAACTATAGCCAAGGCAACAACAATCCAACGTTTGAAATAAAGTGTCCATCATTACAATTTGATTCAGAAAATGACAAGCTGGGACTCCATGTGCTTGTATCCAGTGTCGAAGACCCTGATAAATGGACGTCTAAAGATGCCATTCAGCTGCATCATACGTTATTTACAGCTTTGTTCAAAACAGAAGCAGCATTGCTTCATTCACCTATAATTCTGTTCACTTTAAATGGCTGTGTCTTCTGTCATCAGATGAAGACACTCTTATCAGGGGAATTATGGGAAATCCTGTGTGATATTGAAGGATCTATTGAAAGCATTACGAAAGTGCAAGTTAAACCAAAAGATGATGGGAGTGATCTCCCTTTTACTGATCTTCAGCCTCAGGGTTCAAAATGTTCTGAAGGACTTCTGGTCTGTTCTTCAACTGGGAAGACAGTTTTGGTACACATTACCAACCTGATGGTGGTGTTGTGTACGATATTATTACACTTCCTGGTCCTGTTGTTTGTTGCGCAGGATTTGAGTCTACGATCTATCACAGCACTGGGAAACAAATATACAAGCATGTTTTCATCAGATGCAGCAATCCACCAAAGGGAGGTAACTCAGTGGCTCTTGAGTCTGACTTGCTTCATCAGACTTTTATAGAAGCACTTGTCGTTGATGGAGAAAGTCTGGATTCAACAGGTAAATGGACAGTTCAGTCATTAATACTGTAGGGGGGAATCATTGTTTTGTTCTGCACAATGTTTATTGAATTGGATGTAATAGTTTTCTTCCATTTTTGAAAGGTTGTTTGAAGGTCACGCTACTTTTGATATTACAATGGCTTGAGTTGAATATTACTAATGTTGATTTAACGTCTATTGCTTCAAAATGATCCTTGTCTAATTTAGAATTATGCTTCAGATATAGTATTCCAGATAAGAATTTTATTTTTCTAGAGAAATGTGGCAGTGTCCACTCATCACGCAGAAAGCCTGCATTCAATTCCCCACATGAGCACAATGTGTGAAGCCCATTCCTGCAGTCCCGAGCCATGATATTGCAGGAATATTACTATAAGTGGCATTAAACTGAACTCATTCACTATATAAGAAGTTTGATTTCAGGGATCAAGTTGGTGTGTCAGAGTGCCCTTGGTGATATTAAACTGAACTCATTCACTATGTAAGAAGTTTGATTTCAGGGATCAAGTTGGTGTGTCAGAGTGCCCTTGGTGATATTAAACTGAACTCATTCACTATATAAGAAGTTTGATTTCAGGGATCAAGTTGGTGTGTCAGAGTGCCCTTGGTGATATTAAACTGAACTCATTCACTATATAAGAAGTTTGATTTCAGGGATCAAGTTGGTGTGTCAGAGTGCCCTTGGTGATATTAAACTGAACTCATTCACTATATAAGAAGTTTGATTTCAGGGATCAAGTTGGTGTGTCAGAGTGCCCTTGGTGATATTAAACTGAACTCATTCACTATATAAGAAGTTTGATTTCAGGGATCAAGTTGGTGTGTCAGAGTGCCCTTGGTGATATTAAACTGAACTCATTCACTATATAAGAAGTTTGATTTCAGGGATCAAGTTGGTGTGTCAGAGTGCCCTTGGTGATATTAAACTGAACTCATTCACTATGTAAGTTTGATTTCAGGGATCAAGTTGGTGTGTCAGAGTGCCCTTGGTGATATTAAACTGAACTCATTCACTATGTAAGAAGTTTGATTTCAGGGATCAAGTTGGTGTGTCAGAGTGCCCTTGGTGATATTAAACTGAACTCATTCACTATGTAAGAAGTTTGATTTCAGGGATCAAGTTGGTGTGTCAGAGTGCCCTTGGTGATATTAAACTGAACTCATTCACTATATAAGAAGTTTGATTTCAGGGATCAAGTTGGTGTGTCAGAGTGCCCTTGGTGATATTAAACTGAACTCATTCACTATATAAGAAGTTTGATTTCAGGGATCAAGTTGGTGTGTCAGAGTGCCCTTGGTGATATTAAACTGAACTCATTCACTATATAAGAAGTTTGATTTCAGGGATCAAGTTGGTGTGTCAGAGTGCCCTTGGTGATATTAAACTGAACTCATTCACTATATAAGAAGTTTGATTTCAGGGATCAAGTTGGTGTGTCAGAGTGCCCTTGGTGATATTAAACTGAACTCATTCACTATATAAGAAGTTTGATTTCAGGGATCAAGTTGGTGTGTCAGAGTGCCCTTGGTGATATTAAACTGAACTCATTCACTATATAAGAAGTTTGATTTCAGGGATCAAGTTGGTGTGTCAGAGTGCCCTTGGTGATATTAAACTGAACTCATTCACTATATAAGAAGTTTGATTTCAGGGATCAAGTTGGTGTGTCAGAGTGCCCTTGGTGATATTAAACTGAACTCATTCACTATATAAGAAGTTTGATTTCAGGGATCAAGTTGGTGTGTCAGAGTGCCCTTGGTGATATTAAACTGAACTCATTCACTATATAAGAAGTTTGATTTCAGGGATCAAGTTGGTGTGTCAGAGTGCCCTTGGTGATATTCTGGTGCTTCCAGGTCAGAGTGATCCAAACAGTAAACCTCTGGCACATTTGGCTCATTCCTTCGAAGAACTCCTAATGGGGCTTGACACAACCAACAAGAGACACGCAGAAATATTCCAACAACAGAAACAGCTGAATGACCTGATCCACCAACTCAGCATTGCCGGGCACATCATAACAAATAATTCCCTCAAATCGGAGACTTTAACCAAAAATGATGTCACCCATCCAGTTTCCTGCTCTTGCAGTGTCACATCAACCAGAAATGGATACAAGGTGGACTATGCCCTAGTCTGTAAGCTGACCAATCACAGCCCCATTTCACTGTCATGTGACTGGAGTATAATGGTCGTCTTGGTAACAAAGAATGAATCATATACTGAAAGCAGATCACATGGTATGGCTTTGTCACATGGGTTAAAGTCAGGGTCTTGTATGGATATGAGAGTTCCAATGGATATAAGGTGTTTGTCATCTTTATATTGTGATGTTAAAGTGTATCTTGTGTTGTATTCCGAGTTACTAGGAGACCAGATGTCATTCAAGCTGAATGCCTCTGTTCCAAAGACATCAAGTTTAGGTCTACCTGCCCTTTTGAAAACTCAGAGGTTGGACATTTTGTATTATCTACGAGAACCAATCACAGAAGTTGTTAATTCCACAACAGCCATGTGCAAGAAACCTCTGTCCTCATTGGTCAGTCAGCAGCCAATGAGAAAACAAAGGAATGAAGAAGAAGTTTCAAGTTCAAAACAGATGTTGACAACAGAAATTAGTGTTGGAAGGATCAAGTTACCTCCTGACTTTGAAACAAGGTGTCAGGAAGGTATATAAAAGTTTAATTCTTTGCTACAACATACCTAGAGCATATCCATCCCCTCATTAGGGAAGTCAAGATTCAACCATACATGAATGTATCAATAATATTCTCAGACAATATGAAATGACCTAACAAGACTAAATTTCTGAATAATTAAGTCAGCTACATTCATCACCTACCATTAAAACAATTAGAGATGAATTGATACAATATTTACTCATCCAGAAGGAAGTTCATTTGTTCACTTCTTTCTCACCCTGGACCTGTGAAGATCCGGGATAGAACTGGTCTTCAGCAACCCATACTTGTCTCCTGTGAAGATCCGGGTTAGAACAGGTCTTCAGCAACCCATACTTGTCGTAAGAGGCAACTAACGGGATCGGGTGGTCAGGCTCGCTGACTTGGCTGATACATGTCATCGTATCCCAATTGTGTAGATCAATGATCACTGGATTGTCTGGTCCAGACTTGATTATATACAGACCACCTCCACATAGCTGGAATATTGCTGAGTGCTGCGTTAAACAACAAACCAACCAACTTTCAGGCTTGTTGACCTTGTAGATTTGCATCTCACTGTACCATGAGTTCTCATTATCAGTCACTGATATGTCTGGTCTAGACAGTTTATAATCTTTACAGTTTCACTTCAGATTCTTGTAATTTTCTCAGGAAGACTTCCTGTGGTTGGGACATTTACACTATTTGGCCCCAAAATTCAGTTGAGTGTAGAAACTATAAATAACATCAAGCGTCTAATTACCTCTTGCAATTTGTGGGGGCGGTGGGGTAGCCTAGTGGTTAAAGCGTTGGCTCGTCACGCCGAAGACCCGGGTTCGAATCCCCACATGGGTACAATGTGTGAAGCCCATTTCTGGTGTCCCCCGCCGTGATATTGCTGGAATATTGCTAAAAGCGCTTAAAACCAAACTCAGTCAGTCAGTCAGTCAGGTACTTGTAATTACCTCTTGCAATTTGTTATAATTTGTTGTGTTTTTACCCTATTAAGATAAACTTTGAACAGCATTAAGTTATAGTGTTTTAAATAATTTATTTATGTTTAAAACAGCAGAAGATGATTAATGGTTTCATAAAGACTTCCTTTTGTTTGGACACTATCAATACCTTTCCTAAAAGATTGGTAAAATGTGAAAACAATGAAAAAAACATCAGTTTCTAATATTTGTTTTTATTACCATTTTCAATTTGTCATAATTGTCTGTTTGTTTATTTCTCTTTATAATGGCTGTTAATGATTCTTGGTGTTTTGCAAATTGAGCTGAAACAAAGGTCTGGCCTAATGGGGCTGTTTATGTTACAGGCGACGTGTGTGTGAAACTGTTGAAGTATTTGCTGATGGACTCACAAATAAATGTTGAAGCCATCAAAAAAGGGCAGCTGCAGTTAGTTGATCCATGTGGGCATGTGGTCAGTGTATCCATAGCAACTGATCCCCACCATGGTGGTGAGAGACTGACTGTACAACTTGGCTGTAGCAGAGTGGAGGTCTTGGCCCGATGTAGAGCTGCCATTGTACACAGAACTGAGGTAAGATCAGATGTCATACTATGTACTCATACAGATGTATCCCTAGACTTTATTTAGGGATCGGTTAACATATTTGCTCAACCTTTCTGCCATATACAAGGGTGGAAATAACCCATTGACTGACGCCCGAGTCCAGTGTTTTTTCTGTTGGGCATGCAGATTTGTATATCACACTGTACCGGTGTCCAGTTGACTTTCCAATATTAATTATGCTGTTTATTTAAGAAATCAACAAGAAAACGGCCGGTATAGTGGAAAATTATCAGGGCAAGTGATTTTAAATGTGCCACTGTACCGGAGTACACTAGCAATTTTAAAGTTATTTCCTCCTCTGATATACAAACTGTCTTGATCAAGACTGTCATAGACTACGCTTAATAGACTTTCCACGGGCGGTGGGGTAGCCTAGTGGTTAAAGCTTTCGCTCATTCACGCTGAAGACCCAGGTTCAATTCCCCACATGGGTACAATGTGTGAAACCCATGTCTGGTGTCCCCCGCCATGATATTGCTGGAATATTGCTAAAGGCAGGATACAACTTAACTCATTCACTCACTCTAGACTTTCCAGTCCTGGATATAGGTTAGCTGACATTTTCATCTAGATTTTCCAGAACTTGCAAGTGTACGCTGATGTCTGTAAACTTTCTAGACGTTGATATAGCGTAGTGGACACTGGACCGTCTGGAAGTCTAGGCGAGGGAACATTGTGGTGTTAGGATCAGGAGAATATTGTACATTTGATCAGTTGAACTCTTTCAACACCGCAGGCTGGTTTTCATTTCACCATATTTTATTGACAGATTTAAAATTATTAACTATTTTCTGCAATGTGACTGAAACAATTCTCAGACACATGCTTTGGCAACAGGACTGCATATAAAATGTCAAAATAGATGACCAAAATAAAGATGTTCAAGCAAATTTTAAATAAATTAATCAAAGTAAAAGATAAAATCAGGAACAGTATCTATAAAACTGTCAAATTTACATCTAAGTTTCCATTAGGTTGTCAAGCTGAATTATTTTGTTGTATAGTTGTGGGAATCAACACTCTTATAATAGTTACTGACCACCATCATACACCTGAAATATTGCTGAGTTTAGAGTCTAGCAGCAAACTGCTAATATACTGAACCACAAAAGAAACATTGCCTTTCAAAAAACCAAATGCAAGATTTTGTTCTTACAAAGTGGTGTTTTTATAATGATTGTATCCTTTTGTTAACATGTTTTTAATCCAAATTGACAGTTATTACCAACATTAGTGTGTTTTCCTGTGAATAAGCAGATCAGCCTAAGAAGGCAGACATGGTAAAAGGTTCCATATGATACTAGTGAAAATGAAAATGCATGTGCACATCATGACAACCCTGCCAATGATAGCGAGTCCCAAATTCACCTGAAATCATTTTGATTTTGACACAATCGCCATGGCACGACTTGCTAGAGATCAGTGGAACCAAGTCTTGGGACGATTACGCGTTGGCCAGACTGCACCGAGGGTAGCCAATCATTTTAATGTTCATGTTTGGACAATCTACCGACTGCAGGAGTGGTATCAGGTCACTAACAGCATCCAAGACCGTCCACGCAGTGGGCGACCTTCAGTAACATCCCAACATCAAGACCGACAGATTGTGCGCAACCATTGTGATCACTTCCTGAGAGCGAGGGAAACAGCACGCCAGACCATTTGGACTCACAACAGACCAATCAGTGCCGATACAGTGCATCGACGTTTGTGCAGAAGAAACCTCTGCTGTCACAGGCCATGTTGTGGTCCTGTCCCACCGCTCATCACCACCAAAACCGTCTGCAATCGACAACTCAGCATCGAAATTGGCGTTATTGACAATGGAGAACTGTGCTTTTATCTCATGAAAGCCGAAATTGTGTTTCGACAGTCAATGGCAGAGTGAAAGTATGGTGAAGGCGTGGGGAACTGTTTTCCAATGGATGTATTGTTGAAAGAGACTTGTGGGGTGGTCCAAGCATCATGGTGTGGGGTGCAATCGGTCTGAACCAGATAGTTCGCACCGTGGTGTTCCAGAATGTCTGTCCAGGATGAGGAAATGACATGACAGCTGCTCGCTATATTGACCAAGTCATAAGACCCCACGTTGTACCACATTTTGGACATTACAGAAATCACATCTTCCAGCAAAACAACGCTCGTGCCCACACTGCCAGAGCAACATTGGACTTCCTAAGAAACCATGGCATGGCAACCCTACAAAGGGCTGCACTCAGTCCAGATTTGAGTCCAATAGAACACCTTTGGGACGGGATTCAAAGAAGACTGGATGACTTCCAACCAAGGCCAACAACTGCAGCTGGACTCGATCAGGCATTTCACGGAGTATGGACCCAAGTGCCTATGGCTAATTCATTCCATGTACAGACGATGCAACGCTTTCATCGATGCCAATGGAGGCACACACAATACTGACTTTGGGGTATCTTAATGGTACCATTTTTGGTGATTTTGTTTGTGTGAAGTCAAATGTATTAGCCATAGTTGTCAAGTTTGGACTCAATCCTCCATTTTGATTGTTAATTAGAGTGAATTGAAGTGTATGCTTTAAGAAACAGCTATCGGTGCAACATGTCTTCTTTGGTTCAGTATACATTGATTGTTCCAACCATTTAACACTGGTCCACGTTGGAGATAGCTAAGAACCGTTTGTTTGTTTGTTGTTGTTTAACGCTGCACTGAGCAATATTCTAGCTATAATATGGCGGCAGTCTAGACCAGACATTCAAGTGATCAACAGCATGAGCATCGATTTACACATTTGTAATACAATGACATGTGTGAACCAAGTCAGCTAGCCTGACCACCCGATCCTGTCAGTCGCCTCTTAGGTCATGCAGGGGTTGTGTACACAAAAAATGTTTGAGTACAATTTTCATGGAGCCTGTGAGGTGCTGTAGGCCCTTTCATGTAAATATTTGCATTGATTCGATATACTGTTCCAGACTGTTTGCTGTCCGGATGAAACAGACCTGTGTGTGAAGGATCTCCGACAGTACCTCACCAGACTGGAGGTGGGTGTTTGAAACAGTAGTACTACAATACCTATGCCATAATAAACTAATCACTATAATGTTATCCTGCCCATCATCTGTTCAACACCCTGCTTCAGATCTCTTATTATCCCCAACAACCTGAAGACAGAAAATCTGTCACATCTGTGAATACTTAATATACACAAAATGTTGACCATTTAATCTGTTTTCATAATGACATTTTTTCTACAAATATGAATACCAAACATTTTCATAGGGTTAAAAAACAACCTTTTCAGACATTATAACTATATACATATGTACTTGACATATTGCAGGTTGAAATAGCCCAGTTGTCATGTCATTCCTTTTCATGACAAATTCTTGGGTTTGAATCCCTAAAAGAAACCACACCAGCTTACTCAGGAACTTTGAAGTTAGCTTTTCCAGATGTTATGTTACCCTTGCATTTTTACTGGTACACTGCACAAGAAACAATTGCCTCATTCAGCTATATCAGCAGGGTCTCTGTCTCTTATTGGGCAGTGGGGTAGCCAAGTGGTTAAAGCGTTCACTCATCACACTGAAAATCCAGTTTCAATTTCCCATGGGTACAATGTGTGAAGCTCATTTCAGGTGTCCCCCGCCATGATATTGCTGGAATATTGCTAAAAGCTGCTTCACCCATACTCACTCACTCACTCAGTGTCTTCTTGAATTTGTTACAGAGCATAAAAGGAGAGATCCGTAGCTTGGAAGAACAGGCTGGTCGAAACTCGGAGTCTCCCGACACCATCAGGAACTCTTTGTCTTCAGTATATGAAAAACTAAGGAAGATACAATTATAGACAGACAGCTTTGTGATGCTTCTCAACACTATCAGGAGCTCTTGGTCATCAGCATCATCTCTTTCTTTGTTTTCTGTACATGATGAACGAGGGAAGAATACTGTTACAGAGAAATAAATGAAGACCCATACATTGTTGTTATTACAGATACATGAAGGAAAAAAGTTCAGTTCAGGTTCACCTGCAAGAAACGTGTTGTATCCAGTCAAGTAATTTCCCTCCAGTGCATGTAGCACTGTTCTAATGAGCTGATTAGTGCATGTATTTTTTTATTTCTTAACCTATTTTGATCTATTTATATATTTGGTTAATTGTTTCAAATCAGAGCTATTATGAGCAATGACAGTACAATGTCAACGAAGTCAGCGAGACTATAAGTACCATTTAGTTGTCTCATACCACACGGCAAATTCTGTCAGGGTCCCTACTGGTACCAAAGCACTATTTTGTACCTTCATAAAATTATGTGTTTGATTGGCATTTTAGAAATATAATTTTATTGAAACCCCAAAATGTGTGTTGTGTTTGAATGAAAATATAATCGTAGGTGAAGCAAAGCATAGGATTGTCAGGTTTGTATGTGATCATGCACAAGGAGAGGTCATACAGCAGGATTATACATATATATATATATATTTATTTGTTTGTTTTCTAACACCACACTCAGCAATATTCCAGCTGCATGGAAGCAGTATGTAATAATCAAATGTAGACCAGACAATCCAGTGGTCAACAGCATGAGCATCGCTCTATGCAACTGGGATTCGATGACATACATTAACCTAGTCAGCGAGCCCGACCAATCGTTAGTCGCCTCTTATGTGAGTGAGTGCGAGTGAATTTAGTTGTACACCGCTTTCAGCAATATTCCAGCAACATCACGGCTGGCGGGTCTTCTGGTACTAGCTGTTAGCACCAGAGACAGGCTGTTTCTCTTCAGGGGTTACTACCCGAGATCAGCTGTTTGACACCAGTATTAACTACCAGAAACAACCATTTTGGCACCGTGGTACCATTAGAGACATGCAGAATGCCAGGATTGTTGCAATCAGAGGCATTTGGCCCAATGTGATTCAACTTTCACATAGAGACAGACTTGTACTCCATTCAATGCTCATGTGTATATTTCTGCTGGCAAGGGAAATACATTGTATAACTATTTGATTATTTGCCATTTGCTTGGCTTGGGCAGAACATGAAGATTACCAGTTATTTGATAATGAGTGAGTTTTAACATTGGCCTTTGATTTGAGGAATACACTCTGAACAAAGATTTAGATTCAATCAATACTTTATTCAATATGAATAAAATGGGCTCAATATACAATTTACAAGTTCATAATAAACACATTTTTAAACAAATTATGTCGTCTCTAAATAACATAAGGGACCGTTCTCAATTTATTGCTAGGGGAGTGATGATGATTTTTATGGAAGCATGTACAATATGAATGATCCCCTCCCCACCCCACCCTAAAATTTAAGTAAGTGACCCACCCACCCTGCATGTCATGTACAAAAATCAATCACCCCCCACCCTTCCCATAATTTTTAGGCATAATGTTTGTACATGTAGTATACAATGGATGAACCCCTACCACCCCAGAACAAAATAGGTGACCCCTCCTTAAAATCATCATCACTATCCCCTAGCCATGAACAGCCCCTAATACATAAATAATCACAATAATTCAATTTCTTCAGGATCACTTGAAGCATCTACCTTTTCAAAGGTATACATATTAGAGATGAATGACCTTGGTAAATGTGTGATTGTAATAGAATTAATTCAGCACATACAAGTAAAAATGATTTTCATTCTCTTCAACTCACAAAAGACAGTTTCTCTTGCATGTATCATTCCTTCTTTCATTAACAGTCACCCTTTGAACTCAACTCAATTTATTTGAAGCTTTAATTCACTAATTCCATAAAGATATTTTTCAGGTTCTTATATATTTCTATTTATTATTCATGTTTAGGCCAGACCAATTTCATTTCTTGTTTTACAGACTTTTGTACTCAGAAAACTTAAATATATGGGGCAAAAAGCAATGTAAAAAGAATTTTCTTGTAAGTTTTCATTTTTGGCCAATAAAAACATTAGGATTTTATTCATTTTTTTCTTCTTTCTTATTCTTGAAAAAATCGACCGGCGGATCCGTAAAACAAGAAATAAAATTGGTCAGGCCTTATTAACTTTTATGTTCTCTCTAAACATGCTTATCATGCTTCTTTTCTCTGTTTGTGACATCGAACAAAACCGAAAGAACAGACTAGGTCGTAATATTTGAGGACCTAACACTATACATGTATACATTATCTAAATAAAGAAACATATACGTGTTAGGGGATGATGAAAACATTTGTACCTGTTATATGCAAAAAGAATCTGGAATATTTAACAGACTCTGTAAACCAGGATTAGTTTCAGAAACCTGTATTACACCATTGGCATATAACAAGAATTATTCTACTACTACTACTCCACAATATATCTACTGTATAATATATGATTTGAATCCTGTATGTCATGCCATCTGTAGTCAACTTATTTATTAATAAATGGGAATAACATGCACTCAACATTCATCCTAGTCTTAAACAACATGAACAATTCCAGATGAAAACAAAACATACCACCACCAGAGAATTGTATTTTCAGTGAAACATTACTCAGGAAGTAAGTTCCTCCTGTCCATGGTATATTATGCCATATTTTGGAGGGGGAAGGAAAGTAAAATTGAACCCCGGCACTTTAAACAATTCAAATTTCTTACCAGGGTAAGCTTGGTCTACACTATTCACTTTTCAGAGTGGATGCCTTTTGCCATGACAGGATGTGCTTACCTTGATATGAATCTAAATGATCCACAGTTACAACTCTGGGGCTCCTTTCATGAAGCAACCTTTATTAAGGTTAACCTTAACTCCCATTGTTTAACATTACACTAAGATTACCTTAGTGACTTACGATCACATTAGTGCTTTGTGAAAGGAGGCCCTGGTTGTTAGCAACAGGCACTTGAGTGAACATGTAACCTTTACTAAATGAGTGATTAACAGAAATGCTGTAGAAAGCAGCGTTCAATCTAAATTTCAATCTAATTGCCAGCATACACAAGTATAATAATGTAGGCAACCCTATCGTACTTCCTGGCCTCCTTGCGGTAGTTGGTGTGAGTATACCTTCAGCTTACAAAATAATAAAAAAAAAAAATGAACATACACAATCCACAAAATAACATACACAAACCATAAAAAAGTGTAATAGTCAGATCTGGGCATTTCAATTGGTAATAATGTTCAGAACTATTGGTTACATCAAAACAGACCATATTCTTCTTCTTCTTATTCTGTCTCTGATCAACCCGTGAAGGTCCAGTTTAGAATGAGCCTTCAGTAACCCATGCTTGTCGTAAGAGGCGACTAATGGGATCAGGTGGTCAGGCTTGCTGACTTGGTTGACACTTGTCATCGGTTCCCAATTGTGCAGATCGATGCTCATGCTGTTGATCACTGGATCATCTGGTCCAGACTCCATAATTTACAGACCGCCGCCATATAGCTGGAACATTGCTGAGTGCGGCATAAAACTAAACTCACTCACTCACTCATTTGTCTCTGATCAAAAGTAACACAGTACAACAAAACAATATCGATAACTCAAATGATCTGACCAATGGAGATACAACATACAGCACTACCTTGAGGGTTTGTCCCTCAGCTCTGCATACATTTGTAAATATGTCCATTATTATACCTATTATTTAATTCAGGACAAGTGCCAGTGTCAAACCAATCGCACCCAAGACGGTTCCAAGGATGAGACCAGTATATATGCAACATACAGCATTTTTCGCCAGGACTTTGGCCTCAGAAGGGAGTCCAAGTTCTTTATACCTATTGGCTTCCCATGCATATTTGGTGGCGAACATGCCAGGTAAACACAAACATATTAGACTCAAGTAAGATGCAACGATGACCTGTTTTATGCTACGCCATGGTTTGGGCACAAGTTCCCCACTGTTTGGAATTTTAAGACGCACACCCGTGTTTTCATGTTGCACTACATACGGGTTAGGTTTCTGTGTTTGTTCTGATGTGTAGTCTGCTGTCTTGGCATCTTCATCCTCCATTTTGATCTGTACATCTTCGTATTTAGCGGACATGTTCTGGAATGATATAAAAAAAAGAATGAATTTATTCTGTATAAATTAAAGGGGCACTAATCTGGACAATTTCCCTGGGACTGCTTGTTGCTTTTACCATTGATTTCTTCTGGGGTTTTTTCTCACGGTACCTGCATAAAATCCTGTAAGTTCTAGACTGGTTCAAGACCTCTGCTACCTCACCCGTAAGCACAATAAACCGATCAAGCCCCATCCACTAGCTCCTGGCTTCCTTTTTGACAACCATTGGCTAATTGCTATGGCATCCCTGTCCAACGAAACTTGCTTGTGTCGGTGATAAATGTTGCACGTGATACTTTGGTACCCATTGTTTGTGAAAAATATTTAAAGAGGAAAGTATACATATTTTGAGTGGGGTACACATCTGTAGTACCTGTGTACAGTACACACCTGTATGAACGCTACAACAAATACGTGAAACAAAAGTTATATCAATAATCATATCAATTCCATGATCATTGATAACTTTAAGGGGTGGTGGGGTAAAGTTATATCAATAATCATATAAATTCCATGATCATTCATAGACTTTAACAACAAATACATGTAACAAATGTTATATCAATAATCATATACATTCCATGATCATTCATAGACTTAAGGGACTGTTAATAATTTATGGCTAGGGGGCAGTGATGATGATTTTTATGGAGAAGCATGTACAATGTGAATGACCCCCCCTAGAATTTATGGACAAAGTAAGTGTCCCCTTCCCCCACCCTGTCATGTACAAAATCAATTATCCCCCCTTTCCCATAATTTTAAAATATTTTTATGCACAAAATTGCTGACCCCTCCCTAGTACATGTGTACAAATTTGATGACCGCTCACAACAAAAAATGGGTGACACCCCCCCCACTTCAAAATCATTATCTCACACACACACACACACACACACACACACACACCATAAATTGCAAAATGTTTATGGTATGAAAGCTTGTAATTAAATTGGGCAGCAAGAATTAAAATATCCTAAGTATTTCCCATTTGTATTTTGATGGTTTATCACAGTACACAAATGTTTAATATAAATATCCTGTAATTAGTTTTGTCAATTTGTATAAGGGTTGCATGTTATTAAACATGTAATTTTCAGATAAAAGTGCAATTTCCTCACATCAACCTATATGTTTGTCGTAGGATGCGACTAAGGATCGGGTGGTCAGATCGATGCTCATGCTGTTGAACACTGGATTGTCTGGTCCAGACTCGATTATTTACAAACCGTTGCCTAACAGCCAGAACATTGCTGAGTGCTGCGATAAGCAAGAAATAACCAGGTCCATACTGGGTCATTCTGACCTTGGCAGTTTAGAGCTCAGTATTTCAACTCAAGGGCAGATATTTCAATAGTTGAAAACAGAAACACATTACTATCTAAGCAACTATCAAGTTATTCAGAATACTCACATAAAGAAGCCACCCCTATATCTATGTTGCAGTAAACTACCATTATATTTATTGGCGATATATATCTATTGCCCTAACACTTGAGAGGGATCCACTTATAAGAAAACGGGTTGTAGTCAAAAGGGCTGAAGGACAAAAGGGCTGGAAAAAAAGTCAAAAGGGCCGAGGCTAAAAGTCGAATGGGACAAAATGAAAAGTCAAAAAGGCCGAAAAATAAAAATGTAATAAATTACATAGTAAAATAGTGTAAATAGTGTTTAGTTGTTGTTGTATTTATTTTAAATGGAATTTGAGCATGAGACTCAAATGTTTTCATTGTGAAGCGTCTTGACTCTTGACTATGACTAATCCGTATGGGATGGGTTTTTTTTTTTGTAAGTTTTTAATCCAAATCCTAATCTAAACATGGGAGTCTAACGTTTTTATTGTAAAGTATCTCCACTCAGTGTCTTAACTAATGAACTCACTTCAGTTGACATGGATATCTCATCCAGTTCACACAAAAAGCTTATGAACCAAACTACAAAGCAATAAACAAAATCAATATTCCAGTTAAAGTTGTAACACCTATAGTATGACCAGAAATTATTGAGAATTTTAGGAATATGTCAAAGGCGAAGCGAAAGGTGTGGAGCTGGTTTGTTATTGGATCAGTGTGCTACCAATCAACTCATTGATCAGCTATACAATATTGCTGTTGTTTAAATCTTGGGTTTCATTCAGTCAGTATTTATGACAAATCCGTTAACCAGTATTCAAATTTGACAACTATAACAGGGAATGGTTTGGGTGAAGTTATGCATAATATTCGAGACACTGGCATTTGACTGTATGTTTAAATGGATTTCTAGTATAAACAACCTTGACCAGCTATCGAGTTCTTGGTTTCATTCAAGAGAGACAACTCCGTTAATCCTTTTCATTAGTTTGAGAAGAGTTATCCCCCTTTGTTTACTTGCTAGCAGACGACATTTGCAGTGATCCTCAGTATGGATGATTTAGAGAAGAGGAAGTTGATTTTAGAGTATTATAACAAGGATATCAGATCAGCTAAAGTGATTTCAAGTAGAACAGGCATCCCTTTGTCCACTGTTTATCGTGTTTTGAAAAATATTGAAAATGGATAAGGCATTGAGCACCAGGGAGGCAAGTAGGCCCAAGAAAATTGACTGTCGGTGACAGGAGCGACTTGGTATTCTTGTTTCTAAAACAAACGAAGGAGTTTAGAAAACTTAAGCCTGGATATGATTGATAGAGGAACTGTGGCTGTCTGTAAGGAGACAATTAGAACTGAGCTGCATGCAATGGGTTGGCAGAAAAGTCGAGGAATTCCATCACCGATCATGAAACCTGAACAAAAGGAGCGAAGGTTGAACTTGTGCTTACAGCATATAAATTTTAACTGGGACAATGTGATTTTCTCAGATGAAAGTTCTGTGTGGCTGTTTCCTAATACACTGAAATTCTGGACCAAACAAACTGAAAAACCTTTGTATCAGCGCCCAAAGTACAGTCCGAAATTTAACGTGGGGGGTTGCATATCTGTGTTAGGGGCAACGGCCCTCTGTGTATTTGAAGGGAATATGAACAGTGAGCGGTACACAGATATTCTCGAGGGACATTTACTTCTTTGATCAGTAGTATGCCCCGCCGCATTGAAGCCTGCATTGCTGCCCATGGTGACTTGACAAAATACTAACTGTTCACCTGTCTTTGAATCTGGAGTTATGTTCTGCTAATATTCACATTTAATATGTGAGTAATGAGTGAAAAAAAAAAAAAAAATTACAATCTTCAAATTCTCAATAATTTCTGGTTGTACAGTAACTGCACTCAAGAAATAAAAGGGGTTATACAACTAGATCCTAGAATAACACAACAACAACTTGATTCTCTCGTCCAAACAGCTAATAACAACAAAACACAAACTAAAATTATTTCTGCCAACAGAATCATGTCAAAAGAAAAAACAACCAACTATGTAGTTCTTACCTTCGGAGGCACTATTCTGCCAACAAATATATCATTTGCGAAGTGTCTCCAATATGACCATACTCAAAAAAATTGTACAGAAGAACAACATTGCACTGAATGCGGCAGAAATAACCATACATTTGATAAATGTAAAGCTCGTCTTTACTGCATCAATTGCCAGATGAATGAACTTGTGTAAAACTTGTGTAAATTATGAACTTGTGTAAATTATGAACTTGTGTAAATTATGAACTTGTGTAAATTATGAACGAATGAACTTGTGTAAATTATGAACTTGTGTAAATTATGAACTTGTGTAAATTATGAACGAATGAACTTGTGTAAATTATGAACTTGTGTAAATTATGAACTTGTGTAAATTATGAACGAATGAACTTGTGTAAATTACCATTATATTATTTTTGTTAATTATGTGAACTTGATAAATTATGAACTATATGTATTGCCATTACATGAAAACTTGGCTACATGCTTGGCTATTACCATTTTGTTAATGTTATGATGATATTATGTTTCAGTGCTGTATGTGTCAATAATTAATGTAAAACCTTTCTAAACTTTTTTTCTGTTGGGCCCATATGACTATAGTACTGTCGGAAATAGAAAAAAAACTGTATTTTCTCATTTATCTCTACAATTTATGTAGAAAGTGAAAGTGAAAGTGTGAAATATCTGTTAAACTAAGTTCGGCCTAACTACAGTCTCAGTGGTAGAGAGATAGGAAACGGAGAAAAAGGACTTTACTGAGGGGAAATTAGTGCAGAAATGAGCAATGCGGGTTTTTTCTAAGTCCAAAAAGACTTATTTGGAACAGACCATGGCTTTATGCAAATTAGTGTGCGACAATATTGTATTACAAGGGACACTTTTTAAATGCCCAATTTGAAATTAGACGAGATTCATTATAAGCGATAGCTGAAGTAAAAAAAATAATAACTTTTTATGCCGAAACTATTAAGGATGTAGCTACCATGCAGTCTCACTGTCACTATAAAAGAAACAGATAGGAGGGGTCGCCTCAAAAGCAAAACCTGGGGTCGGGCTTGGGAATGGAGATATCAGCTAAGATAAGATAATCCTTTAGGGCAATTATACTGGGGAGGTACACAGCACGTCATAACAATTAACAATTAATATCCAGTCCTGTCGATCTTTGGGTGGTCATGCCACCTATATACTACGATGCGTTGCTATGGTTTTCGGGTATCATACTCTCTTACATATCTCAAAACAACATAAACTTTATGAAAGAAAGACACGTAAGATGTTAATCAGTAGATGAGACATAGTCAACACACATGAAAAAAGCACAAAATATCTTTGAGATGAACCCTTGTGCCTATAGGCAGCACGTGCATTTCATGCCAGGTGAGTCGACAGTCCGTCGTCATACCTGGCTGAGCGACCTAATTGCCATCTATAGTCTAATCTATTGTTGTCAGCAGCTATTCATATTTTTTCTAAGTTTTGCCCGATTTTACGAGTAAACATGCTTTTCTGGATATCGTATTACGCATCCCACTGAACGCCCAGTTAGGCCGAAGTGGGTTATTTTGACATGCTATTTGCAATTGTGTAAATTTTAGGGATACAGAGTAACAGCCTAAAAACAGTTTTTTTCTATTTCCGACAGTACTACAGGAATAAGGCCCTTTTGACTTTTTGTCACGGCCCATTTGACTTTCACCTCGCCCCTTTTGACTTTTTCCATCGGCCCTTTTGTCCTTCGGCCCATTTGACTAGTTCCCTAAGAAAACATTGTGCTGAAGTACTTTTATACCCATATGAATAAAAAGCTATTTATTCATTGAAAAGAAGTGTTTTTGTTACTCCAAGATCGACAAGGTTTAATATGACATGCAGGGGTTGCTGAAGATGAGGACCTTCACGGGTACCTGCAATCTGGGTATGACCCTGTGGAGAGTCGCGATGGGGTCCGACAGTAAAGGCGGGACCCTGCACCACCGGCGTGCCCACTCGGGCTGTGCTGGTAAAGTGCATCCTAGCCAATATCGATATACTCCCAGATCGTGTCCCTACCAATAGACGTACCTGACAAATCAATATCACGACAAATGAAAAAAACTGTCTAGTAACCTGTCCACTTCGGGTTGAAACGGCAGCGGGCTGACATGTTGACATTTAGTGCGCATGCGTCTTTTTCTTGAAGGTGTGACCACACTCCCATGCCAAAAGTTTGTCAACTTTCTCGACTTGCCCGCAATCACGTGTGATGTTTCAGTATTTCAAACGTGTCGCGTTGTGCGAGTTGGAAACGTATCACACTAAAACTTAGCATGCAAACGCAACGCATGCTATTTTTAGACATGTGCTAGGCGGAAGTGATTTTTGTCGTCTGCTTTCGACGTCTAATCGAGAGGTAAACAATGGGTCGTAGGGGTAAAGATCTGTCGACCTCTGTAAAAACAAGCATCGTATCGCTAACCGAGAGTGGATTAAAACAGTCAGAAAATTTCGAAATATTTGATTTTCCAAGAGCACAATCAGTAAGTTTTTCAAACGTTATCGCGACAGTGAAAATATAAATAACTCTGCTCGAAGCGGAAGACCGAAAGTCATTGGGATTCGTGGCCAGACAACATTATCAAGGATTGTTAAGAAAGGAAGGCGTAAAGGTTGTCTGACATTACTAGTGAATATAATACTTCAGTACCTGTACCTGCTTCAACTAGATCCATTCGGCGTGAATTACACCGTTTGGGCTATGATCGGAGGATTGTTTGTAAGAAGCTAGGAATTCGTGAGGTAAATCGGAAAAAACGTCTCCAATACTGTAGAGGAAAATTACACTGGAATGTTGATCACCACTGGGGAAAAGTAATATTCAGTGATGAAATGACAATAGTTATCAAGCCAGTTGGAAAAATCAAAGTCTGGAGAAAAAAGTCTGAAGGGTGGCTTAATTGGCCAGTGCGTCGGTTACTTAGCTGACAAACCTGGTCCCACTTTGAAGTTAATGATGTGGGGCTGCATAACTTACTGTGGGACCGGTGTTTTAGAGTCAGAAGTATATTGAAGTACTTGACAGGTGTTTGTGGCCAGTGATAACCAAACACTTCACCAATAAACAATGGATGTTCATGGATGACAATGCCACAATTCACCGCTCTGCTGCTACAGAAGCCTGGAAGCAAACAAATGAAATTGCCCCATTTTGCTGGCCTTTAAGTCCAGATTTAAATCCAATTGAAAATGTGTGGCTTGCCCTGAAGAACACTGTGAAAAAACCCATTGCAAACGTGAGGACCACTGATGACCTCAATGAAGCGCTTACGACTGCCTGGGAAAAACTACCGGAGAGAGTTCGCTCGTACTTATGACTACTGTTGTCCTTCGTTTTCGCCAGTTTGCAATGTTTACAACCCTATAGCAGCTCTCGGCTATGTGTCTCAAAGTATCCTTCTCGTGGATGTTCGCTCCAAAATGTTACACATATGTAACATCAGGCCCGGACGCGCAATATTGAGAGTATTACGCAACATCTCGTCGATAGGAGCCTTTTACTTTTACATAACCTGTACGAAGCGAACGTGCCACTCACCTGTCAGCTAACTGTAAAGAGTTCTGTTCTGGAAGTATTATTGATGCCTCACTGATTTACATGTTATCCGATGGGGTCCCCGGATAGAACTGGTACTCAACCTATTCCCGTGGAAAGAGCAGGATATAAACGTGCCGGGTGACTTGTTTGTCTGGATCAGACTCACCGCGGTATGGAAATACTGCCCACGGCGCAAACATAAACGGTACGCTACACTGGCAATCTAAGACACGGCAGAAGAGAACTATAAACACGAAAGTAGGTCATGCACAGGGAGATTGTGAGTCAACATGATTTACACGTGATTGTGACAAGCTCTGGCCCTTTAAGAAGTATTCCGGAAATATTTCAGCGCGTCAGGTTCATGTAGAGGAAAGCGCTAAGTAAGACTTGTATGGCTATGACACGAATTAAAAGATACTAACTAGGTGTAGTTTGTAGTTTTTGTCGCGTTATTTGACAAATAACATCTTACACATGCAATGAAAGAACCCTTGGATTCTTACCAGCCATTTATCATTCACTCTTTGATATCAATTAATTTTAGTTCTTTAACACAACACCCAGCAATAAAAATTCCACTTTCATGGCGACGGTCTGTAAATAATCGAGTCTGGACCAGGTAATCCATTGGGGCGGATCAACGTCATGAGCATCGATCTACTCAGGTTACATGACATGTGTCAACCAAGTGCGCGTTGACCACTCAATCCTTTAGTCCCCTCTTGTAACAGAAGCAAAGGTTTAGACTAACCAGGGCGGTGGGGTAGCCTATAATAAAGCAGTAATCACGCCGAAGACCCAGGTTCGAATTTCTGGGTACAATGTGTGAAGCCCCAATTGTCCCCGCCGTGATGTTGCTGGAATATTGCTAAAAGCGGCGTAAAACCAAACTCAGTCAGTCAGTCAGTCAGTTAGACTAACCATGATCTTGGCGGGTATTTGTATGCCTTAACCCAAGCCAGTTGAGGGCTAAATAGGGTAATCATATTGTAAGTGGTTTCCAAATTGAAGAAATCAGCATTCTCATTGTTCATATTGATTTTACATCAGGTTTGAGAATATTAGGAATAAATGATTTATAAATACTACCTGTCTTTCCGTACAACACACACGTTTGAAAGGATATCTATAAGTTCATTCATATTTGAGTGAGTGGAGTTTGGTTTTACGCCGCACTCCAAATATCCCAACTATATGGCGGCGGTCTGTAAATAATGGAGTCTGGACCAGACAATCCAGTGATCAACAGCATGAGCATCGATCTGCGCAATTTGGAACCGATGACATGTGTCAACCAAGTCAGCGAAACTGACCACCCGATCCCGTTAGCCGCCTCTTACGACAAGCATAGTCGCTTTTTTATGCAAGCACATGGGTTGCTGAAGACCTATTCTACGGATCTTCACGGGTCTCATTCATATTACCATCGGAAGTTCTGTATAAGTAGCCAAAGACCGGAGTTCGATTCCCCACATGGGCACAATGTGTTAAGCCCATTTCTGGTGTCCCCGCCGTGATATTGCTGGAATATTGCTCACAAAGCGGCGTGTAAACTCAGTCAGTCAGTCAGTCTGTATGTATGAGCGCGGCGTAAAACTAAACTCACTCTGTATATAGTATCATCTGAACCAACCTATAGGTAGAGTTAGTGTCAAATGTTACGTATTAACCATACGTGTTTTCAGAGTGATGTATGTATACGTGTACTGAATAGCATGAACCGTGGCACAAAATGTTCTACAATATGTTTATACATGGACTTACTGTTATGTAATGCACCAGTATCTGCTTGCGGGACTGCGCTTCCTGTTTATGTCGTGAGTATATATCGTAACGAGCCGCTTATATGGTATGCGCGTCATGAGAGCTGCGCAAGGGCCAAGCTCCTTGCATCGACGTTTGCTTCCTATTGTTTCCAGCAACGCCGCTGTAGGCAGAAAGTACAAGCAATAATGGAGAGTATAACAATATATCCGCGTTAACAAGGCCGCCCTCGCACTTGAATGTACATGTATAGTGAATGTCCACTCCTATGTCTGATTCAGATGTAAACAAGTCGGTCCCGTGTATGTTGAAAAGTGTTAACCCCTATTGCTTCAGACTTAAATGTCACCACTATGTTGAGTGATGTAGCCTTATTGTATTGAGTGGTCCCGTGAAGATCCGGGATAGAACAGATCTTCAGCAACCCATGCTTGCCACAAAAGGCGACGTACTGTGCTTGTCGTAAAAGGCGACTAACGGGATCGGGTGGTCAGGCTCGCTGACTTGGTTGACGCATGTCATCGGTTCCCAATTGCGCAGATCGATGCTCATGCTGTTGATCACTGGATTGTCTGGTCCGGACTCGATTATTTACTGGCTGCCGCCATATAGCTGGAATATTGCTGAGTGCGGCGTAAAACTAAACTCACTCACTCAATCACTCACTATTGTATTGAGTAAATGAGTGGAGTGGGTAATTATTCAACAATATCACAGTGGCGGGTACCAGAGAAATGGGCCTAACACATATAACCATGCTGGAGAATCGAGACCCGGGTCTTGGGCGTGACGAGCGAACGCTTAGGCTACCAAAGAGCCCAGAGCCCTCTTGTAACCTAGAAGAGTTGCTGAGTTAAAAGTGGTCCAGACTTCTGATGAACCTTCAGAAAAGGCTTTTACTGTCACTAAACTAATTCTACCCAACATTGCCACCCCCAGTCTATATAACATACCTTTTTATTGTGAATCCCAGTGAATTTTATGTTTCATTTCCAACTTCATGGATCTGTTGCTCAGTACATTGTTTGCTCATGATGTCAATCACTGGACTGTCTGTTCCAAAGTCGAATATTTCCAGGCTGACGTCATAATTATAGAATATTAATCAGTGTGGTTCGAAAAACAAACACGCAACGTTGGTTATCTGTGACAAGGCACATAAAAACGTAAACACGAGAACTGGTCACGTACAAGTACGTTGTGAGTTTGATGCCGTCTGGATTATTTGTTTATCGTTACAGCCACTCTCAGCAGTGTTCCAGCTTTATGACGGCGGTCCAGACTCTCAAGTGACCGACATCATGAGCATCGATCTAAGGAATATGACTGGCTGGCTGGCTGAGTGTGGTTTTACGCCGTTTTTAGTAATATTCCAGCAATATCACGGCGGGGGACACCAGAAATGGGCTGCACAAGTTGTACCCATGTGGGGAATCGAACTCGGGCCTTCGGCGTGACGAGCGGACGCTTTAACCACTAGGCTACCCCACCGCCCCTCTAAGAAATATGAAGAAATGCATCAACCAAGTCAGCGAGCAGGACCACCCGATACCGATAGTCGCCTTTTGCGGCAAGAATGGGTTCTTGAGGACCATCTTACCCTGATCTTCACGGGTATGATTGCGATTAATACTGGAATTACCTTTATTTCACCATAGGCCAGATCAGAGTAGGAAAGCCCAACGTTGCGGGTTTGGCTCTGACAGAAACTTTGGATAGTACTGGGGTGGATTTGGGATTCGAACCAACCATCAACGTAGCCAGGCAAGGATGGGGTTGCAGCTCTAGATAGAGAAATCAAACGCACGCACGCACATACGCACGCACACACAGAGATTTGCTGCAACCCTTCGGCACATCAGAAACCTGTGATCCTGGTTTGATTCCGGCTTTGTCCAGG